GTCTTTGCTATTTTACGCTGGGTAACACCATTCTGGTATTGCTGCACTATCTTTCTGCGCAACAATGGTGGAATTGGTGATCCTCTTACCATCTTGGCTTCTGAGAGACACTGACACTCTGAGAAGCTCTTCTTATACCCAATCATGTTGTCAATTGACCTAATTAGTGTTAATTGGTCTTCCAGCTGTTCGTTATATGCTCCATTTCCTTTTTCCAGCCACTTATTGCTACTTGTCCCAACTTTTTTGGGATTTGTTGACACTGTGAAATTTTGAATCAACATATTTTTCCTTTAAAATGTTACACTTACTCAGATTAAACTTTTTATCTGTCATCTATGTTATATTATGAATAAAATAGACATTTGCCATCTCCACATCATTGCGTTCAGTTTTTATTAACACTTTGTTTAGTGTCCCAACTTTTTTGGAATCCGGTTTGTATGTCTAACTCAATTAATTTTACAGATGGAGCTGAACTTTGTGTGGTAGTAGCTGAAAATCACTTCTAAGAGTCAGAAAATACAAAGCTGACTCATTACAGGACATTAGACCACAATCAATCTGATTTTAAAACATATTATTTTGTATTAGTAGAGCACAAAACAAACCTGCTGTATAAGACAGAGCAAGTCCATCGCGTGTTGTGTCTGTAATAAAAACTGTCTTTGTGCTGCTTTTGCTCCTCTGAGCCCTGAAGGCATCTCTGTTCCTCCAACTCAACGTCACCTTCAAGTCACGGGGAACTGACCACACCAGAGGCGCCAGCTGATGTACAAAAATACATTTATTTGAAACAATTTCAAAATGACACTTTCCTTAACCGTAGAAATATTAAAATAATGATGAAACAGAACGTCACCGATGATGCATGCATCATAGCTTTGTTGTGCACTGAAAAACATCACAATGCTTTTGCCAACTGAGCGAATCTTTAAAGCATCTAAACTTTTAAATCGTTCATGTTGGGCTCCTCAGATCTGGTATCTCGTGGCGTTTAGGATCTCAGATAGCAGCTTCCAGTGATCAAAGCGGTGGACAAGACGTCCCTTTACTGGTGACGATCTCACCCTGAGTAAGCGCTCCGTTAGCATCTTTACATCAAAGTATTTTGATAGTTCGTTTCAGAACAATCGAATCAAAATGAAACTACAGCAACACTTCAGAGTCCCGAGCTGTTTGACGCTTTTCTTTTTGTTTTCCTCTCATTTTTATTTTGATGATAGGAATCAGAACGGATCAAAGCTGCCACTCCAACAAAACCCAGCCGAACACGTAACCCCGGCTCTGACACGAGCCGAAGACGACAAAGCTGAAACTCATCTTTGTTCAGTACGCAGCACAGCTTCGGCTGTTTGCTTTGAGATGAGAGCACTTTGTTGCAGCTAATACAAATGTGACGCGACAGCCTCTACCTTTTGTGCACCGCTTCCTTTCTCATCTCGCTTCTCCGGCGACAAATGTTTACTCGAGCTGAGCATTGTGGGAAAGCCGTGCACGGCGGATCTTCGGCTCAGCTGTCCAGTTTTCTCTCATTACTGTCAAGCTGGTTTCCCAGAGGCCGACGTGAGTCAATTCTAGGCCACTTGGTGTTTGTGGAGTTAGAAAGCAGCACTGGTGGGGAAGATGCATGCTGGGAAAACAATTCTGTCTCGTTTCAAATCACATGCAGAGCCGTGAGCCGAGCGTTTGGTTGCAAATGGAGGCTCATGGCAGCAGGAAGACTGCACTAATGACACCAGCCCCACTGATCGGCTCGAGATGCAACATGTAAGAACTCTGAATAAACTCTAAACACTTAGGGTCTGATTTTAAATAGGATTTAAATTTTGGTTTTGGAAAACGACTAACAAATTGGGCATTTAATGATAAGAAATTCTTCCTCAAAAAGTTTTTCGAAAAAGATGTTTAGGTTCAAATTTAAAGAATAAATGCAGCAGATTTTTAATTGAAAGGAGCAAAACACAGCATTTAGCACCCTCTTGTGGTATATCTGTAGACTGCAAATAACTGAACGTATGAGTGTTTATTCTCAACCAGTCATATAAAAGAAACCACATGTCAGCTTTTAAAATTAAATAAAATCTCCAAATTCTCACTCTCTACCGGGAAAATATGAAGAATAAATGGCTAAATTCATCAAATCATTTCAAAAGTTTTTCAAATAAATAACTCAAATTAATTTCCTTAGAACTTTCTGAATGATCAAGATGACAAAATGTGACAATTAAAAAATATATTATGTTAAACTAAAATAGTAATAAAAACAAAGCCATCAAAACTGTGAGAAGTTTCTGTTTCCATTTGCTTCCAGACTCGTTCGTCTTCCAAACTGTCTTTAGTGTAATTTAGGGTTCTTTAAAAAAACAGAAAGGTTGAAGCATCCCGTCTGTTTAAGACGTACCCGGAACATCAACAGAGACAGTTCTAATGTATTTTCTGGGTCTGTTTTTAGATCATGTCACTGCTACACTTTGTTTGATAAATGATTTTTAACTGGGAGGGAATAAATGGTGTCAAAGAAAACAAGTTTTAAGAGACTCTTTAAAGGAATAAGGTTATTTTTTTATGATGATATGGACATTCTTGCCACCTGGTGGCGTGCATACTTCAGCATTTTTGCTACAATAGCAAAAACCGATAAAAACAACCCAAAACAGTTTTTATGTGCCAAGCACATTGGCCTCATTGTTTTGTCCTTCTGGACGGGTTTTGAGCTGGTTATCAGCCTTTAACTGTGTTGGGCTGTGGCCTTTTCCACCCGCCCATAAACAGGCTGGTTTCAGGGAGCTCAGGCTCACTCTGTTTTTTGGCCCTTCACACTCGGGAACTGAAGGTTTCTGAATCCAGGTCTCAGACTTTCAGGGGAACCACCCCCACAGAGGTGTGAAATGTGTTGCAAGTGTGAAGTCGCACATGCACACTGCAGTCCAAAGTTTTTCTGCACTAACAACAGTTATAATAAATAACAGTTATAATAAATAACAACAGTAATAATAAAGACAGCAGTTATAATGTCAGAGCAGAGTGTTTTTGTGCTGCTCGCCCTTTTTCAGCTTGTAGGAGCAAAACTAATAAAATCCAATTACAAAGAAAGGCAAGTGTATTCACCAGTTGGGCTGTAACTGATCATGCAGACGCTGCGTGCACAATGGATGCAGCTGAGCCCGGCATCAGGGTTGCCAGATAAATTTAAAATGTCTTGTTTACTCCCTCATTTTCTGTGCAAATGAACAAACAACACACACCTCATCTTAAGCCCTATTCACACAGGATTAGTTTTTCATTCAACCTTAAAACAGGTTAATCCTTAATAATAGTTTTACCTAGGGACCACATGTAAATAAATACATTACTCCCCAACGTCTGCTTTTTATGCGGCGCATTCGCACGGGATAACCAAAGCCTGAGATTTAGCTGAAATGTACGAACATTTTCTGGATATGATGTTAACGCTCTGCGTATTGCGTAACATCCGCTTGTGTCTCCTCTTCAGCCTTTTCTTTTTTTGGCAACCGTCACTGGTCGATAGGCTTTTGCTGGTCTGGGACACAGGTTATTTATGATCTCCAATGAAGCCTCCATTGCCAAAAGCAAATAAAAAATGCACCCAGCAAGCAAAAAACCTAATTACTATCAGATCCCGCCCATTTCTGTCCAAATCACAGAGATGCCTATTCACATTGGATTAGTATTATCACAGGACCTCGGAGTTCAGCAAAATATAGTAGGTAATTTGCAGGATAATTTTTACTTTACAAATTACTGACATGGCCGATTCTCACGGGATTAACAACACAGACAATCTCTGTCATTTTTACAAATACCATATGGTTCCTAGGTTAAACTAATCCCGTGCAAATGGGGCTTAAGAATATCTTTACTCAGCACGTGACACTTTAGGTCAAAATACTATCATTTTAAAAGCCACAGTACTATAGTTCATAATTTCTTATCTGGCAACCCGACTGACATGGAAACTACAACATTTTTCGTGTAAACCTGATCATTTTATGTTTATTACCCTCAATAAACATGGAAGAAACACTAACGTTTCCAGAGGTTGTTCTCGTGTAAAAGGGGCCTTACAGCAGGTAGATCACATTTACTTGGTCATTTTAAAAGTAGCTCGCATGCTGAAAAAGTGTGAGCACCCCTCGTGTCTATAAATAAAGGGAATAGCTCTTTAAAAAGTGTGGCTTGGGCTTTTAAGGAAATACAAAAGCATCCTAAAATCCTCCTTTATTAATGCAAAAAAAAAAGTTTTTATTTTAGTGTCATCCCTGTTTACTTTGATGGGTGAATATTGTTTAGTTGATCACTGGTTGCAACTATAAGGCTTATTTATTTATTGACTTGTTTGTTTCGTTCTGGATCGGATCAGAAGCATCAGAGGCAAAATGTAATGCGATGATTTCAGCAGCAGTTAAAAGTTTGGTTCGAAGATATTAAAGACGGTCTTCAAGTTAAAAGCGTCTGGTTATCTGGAGTACAACTCTACTTCAAATATAAATATATTATACATGTTGGCTCTTCCTTTTGTTGGCAGAGAAAATCTGAGATTTGATCGTTAACATCCATTTCCCCGCTCGCCGTCACAAACTCAAGAAGATGGAAGCAGAACAGAACCCGGGCAGGACGGATGGATGTTTAAAAAAGAACTATTTACAACACTTGCTTATCTACAACACACAAACCGTGACCTCAGTAGGAACATGCACAAGTCGAGGACCGCAGCAAAACAAAATGGTTCTCTTTGTCTTTTCGTTTTTCGTTACACTTTCAAAAACATACTGTCGGGTCTCATGTCGGCGCCATGGTACTGAGACTACGAGCATGTAGAAAGTAAGAATATTTACATGTAACAGAACTGAAGATAATATACATTTGGATAATATTCCCTGTTTGGCTGGAGACTCGGACATTATAGTGTACATGTAGGCAGGAATGATTTTCAAAGCAAACGTCTCAGGAAACTCACAGAACTCGTCACTCGGCGAATGAATGCAGCTTTAAAGTTTCTTCAGTGACTACAGAGATGTGGTCGGGTGAATTCGCTGCGGCGGATGCTGCTGGATGAGACATCCGCGCCAGTCCGTAGAAATGAGGTCTTTTAGAAAACTATTCACATCAGCTGCGTCGGTAATTACAAAACAGAAAGGGAGAAGAAGCCCCCGGACGCGGCGAAGCTCGGCTCCGTTCACACGCTGGTGCAGTTTGGAATCTCCCTGGTGCTCTCGCAGGCGTTTCCCACTCCTCCTGAGCAGGAAAGAAACGGGAACACGGGAAGTTCAGTTTCTTTCTTATCCAGCAGCAGATCCTCATTTCTAAAGCTTTTCTAAAGTCATGCACAAAACATAAAAATATGAACGAGACTGACTGATCCATGATGATCATCTCGGATTGTATTATTTGTATTATTTATATGAATTGGGTGGAGGTCTTATACAAGTCCACTGGACTTCTGACTCTTTTATTTTTTATCTTAATATATGTGATCTGTATTTTAATTGTGTAAAATAAAATAAAATAAAAAAACTCAACTAATACTGCGATCGAAGTTTCAACTGACTTATTCGAATAGGAGAAATAAAGGTTAAATATATATATATATATGAAAAAGGCTTAAATAAAAGAATAAAATAAAAAGTAGTAGGGCTGAACAATTAATTGAATTTGCAACAATATCGCGATATGATAAAACTACAATTTCTAATCGCAAATGCTGCAATTCTACTGGTCACGTGATCTGGTTACGTGACCTGCGAGTGAGCGGAGCCGAGAAGGAGGCAGCAGAAGTCAGCACTGCGTTTGAACCAGTTGCACGATGGCGTCAGGCTCGACAGAAGCCGACACATCTGAAAGTTTGTTACCAAAGAGGGGCAGCGCGTCTGTTGTTGGAATTATTTTGGCTATAAAAAAAGAAGACGCTGCACAACGACATGTGCAGAACCAGCCTTGGTGCTGTTGCTACCACTCGAGGTAACACCACAAATTTTTAGCAACACTTAAAAAAACACCACAAAGCCATTTACGATAGTTGCATGGCTGGAGTGTCAACGACGAGTGTTTCAACTTCGAGTAAGCAAAGTAGCAGCCGACAGGGATCACTGACCGAACTGTTTGAAGGTGTTACTCCGTATGAACATAATTCAAATAACTCGAGCAATAATGGAGTTCATAGCGAAAGACATGATGCCCATTAATTTAGTGACCGGACGTGGGTTTACAGCTTTGGTAAACCATTGGATAAGCGGTACAGAATGCCCTCACGTGCACACTTTAGCCAAGTTGCTATCCCGGAGCTACACACACAAATGCAGAAATAGAGTAACGTTAAGGTTAAGGTTTCTTTATTTGTCATTTGCACCACATGTGGTGCAGTGAAATTAAACTGTGTACACACGGTCCCAGTAGCATCCAACAAAAGTATAAATCGAAAAGGAAAACAGTAATAAGATCTAAGATATGAACTAAGGAATATGTTGAACTAAGAATACACTAAGCACTAATAGTACAAAAATAATACGCTGAACAACAGCAGCATGAAATAAATCAGCAGCATAAGATCAGCAGCGTTGTTGAAAACGTATTTTTTTCGGGGGATTGAAACAGATTTATTGCTTGTGTTCGTTGAAAAATACATGAGAAGGTATTGAAAATAAACTCATATTAATTCACAATCGCAATATTGATGTAAAAAAAAAAATCGCAATTTGAATATTTTCCGAAATCGTTCAGCCCTAAGACGTTGTTGTACGCCCGGCAGAGTTGTAGCCTGAGAGGATTCAGCAGGTAAACGTGGTTCGGCCTGGACTTACTCTTCACTCTGGCGTCCAGTTCCTTCTCCAGGCGTTCTTTGGACGTGGCGAACTCGCTCAGCGTGATTTTGGGCGTGCTGTCGCCCTGACCCACCGAGCCAATCATCTCCTGCTCCTTCTCCTGGTTCACCTCGGCGTATATGTTGATCCAGGGTATTTTCCTGAAAATAACAACAGACGTTGAAACGAAACAGCCGCAGAACGCTGAAAGTAAAAACTTTGGGTTTTAAATATGTTTATGTCTTTATGAGTCGTCTCATTTTGCCGCTTTACTTTTATACTTATTACTTGACGTCTAATTTGCAAAACGTCGCCCTATTTTGTGGCGCAAATGTGCACATGTCAAGGTTAAAATCATCTTAAATAAAATTACATTTCGTTAATTTATTTATTACAAAATCACCACAAAAATGTGTATTTTCTTTGCATATTTTATACCTAATGTGTATTTGTATTTGAGCACAATCCAATTTAATTCCAATTACCCTTCGTTCTGGTTATTAATCGCCCTGTTTTGTCAACTGTATGATTTTGTGAAAAATGCATCTCTTCAGACTGACGGGAGAAATTACATATCCATAATTAATGACAGCTTTTTCGATTCCCGCAGTTTTCCACAGAATCATTTTGTGGATGAATAATTTATTCAGCAAATACGAGCCGAAGCACAAACACTGCATATTAAACCGTTTAACGGACGTTTTTCTCTGCATTTTATCACTGATTACTGCGAGCGCCTCGTGCATGGGAATGACGAGAAAGTAGAAGAACCTTTGGCTGAACTTTCAGCTGCACTTGATTGGTCCAGATGCTGCTAATCTGTGTTCAACAGTAATGGAGAGCATACTAACAGACATGCATTGGAGCTACGTGATCATGCATCGGGTGCAGCAGGTGGAAGTGTTTGGAAACCTCTTAAATTTGTAGATAAGGAACACAGCCAGGCCCAGGAAGACCACGGAGAGGAGCATGAGCATGGCAGAGCTGCTGTGTCTGGGGCTGGAGTCCACCAAAGGAGCTGTGGAGGCAGTCACAAAAACAGAGCTGGTAAAAAAAAAAAAAAATGCTTCATTCAATGTTTTCTGTCTTTATTTGCATAAAGACGGCAAGAAAAATGCAACTCTGGCTACAAATACTGAATAAGGTCAAGGAATGTGTTAATCTTAGTCAGTATACATTAAATATAAAAAAAGAAAATGTTTTTGTTTAAAGGATGCAGGAAAAAAAACAAGTTCCATTTTATTCCACGCGGTAAACTTTCACTGCAGCACTGGAGCAGAGCGTCTGCTGGCTCGATGCTCTTTAATGTGCAAACTCAACTCTTTGGTGCGCCGTCACTGTGCCTGCGCTGGCACGCACCAGCAGAATAATCCCACAGAAACACTTTGATGTTTTACTCTGGTGTTGATGTGGAAATCTTTTATTGATTCTCTGCAGGATCTGCTTTAAAAAAAAAAATAAAAAATCGTTGTCAACAAACTTTCAAATGTAAAATGAGGCATGAAACGGTTTTGGATTTGTTGGGGTCCGTTAAGTTTGCAAACACACCTGAACCATTAAAATCAGGTTTAAGTTATTATAATTAAACTCTATATTCCTTGTGCAAATAAATTTGTCAAATGAAAGCTTATTGCTGAAGCATTTTCAAAAAGGATCATTAATTAAAGAGCTGCACAACATGTAAACCCAAAATTTCCTTTTATTTACAATAAATGTTTTCTGCTTTGTTTTTGTTGGGTTTAAGGAAGTTTATCTCAGTCTATGTTTGGCATCTTTGCACACTTTTGCTTTTTGATAAATCCCAAGAGAAGCACATTCAAGAAGAGAAATGGGCCTAAAACGGAGCCTTGAGGTACCCCGTAAGTAACGAGAAGGCCGCTAAAGAATACTTGTAGGATGAAGAACAATTTGTACAGAGGACTTTATATTTGATCAAGTTAATTCCAATGTGAAATAATTATTTGCTGCAGGTAAAAACCACAGAAACAGTTGAATTATAATATTTAATAGCTAAAAGCAAGACATGTTTCTCTGCTGTGGCAGGACAAAACTACACTGATGCTTTAAAATAATGTAATAAAAATTTGACAATAAATAGTTGTAAACTACTTACTATAAAATAGTATAGCTATAATAGTAATAGCTATAAAATAGAAGGATCAAAGTTCAAATGTTTGACCACTTAAACATGTATTTCATAAAAAAAACTACAAAATACTGGTTTTACGATAAAAATAGGGTGAAATGAAGTTTTTATAATCAATCAAATTTCAGACTGCCTGCTGGGATTTTAAACTTCTGCTCAGCTGAGACTTTTACTTTTCAAAATAATTATCACCATTAATCGAGCTTTATTTTGAAAGCGTTCTGCAAAGTTTTAAACTCTGAAACTGAGCAGAAACACAAAAACAGCTTGTTTTTTTGTCTTGTTTTTTAGGACAACATGTTTCTGATGAGATATGATTGATTCCCGACTGAAAACTGAAGAGTATGGGTTGTTGCACTGAGATGTGAGGTGAAAGAAAACTAACCAGCTGACCTGTACAAAACATCACTGATTAAAAAGCTGAAGACGGTTTTGGTAAGAACATGGAAGACACTGTAAAATACAGAAGCATAAATGTAAAAACGTTAATCATTTTTATTTTCCTCATGATTTAACAGGACGATGAGACAAGAAAAAATAATGATATTAGAGTCTTGGGAGTAAGTTCTACAATAATACAAACTAGAAACACAAACAAAAATAAACAAACAGATTTTTATTTCTATAATGACGAATGTGTGAAAGAGCTCCAGCACTTTACAGCTTTGCAGGCGGAGAAGATTTTTCTGCTGATCTTCTCTCCAGTGATCTGCTGTCTGTCTGTCAAATGTGCTGAAATATGGTCTGAACTGGGAAAAGCGTTGCTGTTTTAAGGACGAGTGTATTTCTATACGTTTCTTTGTTCATTAGACTTCAACCTTTCCATTAACACAAACGTCAGCTTAATGCATGACACCAACATGTTGTCAGGATGTTCCATCTTTAACATAAAACACGTCAGAAGCGTGAATCGTTTCTCTGGACGTGACAGCAACATTTCAGGTGGATTCCAAATGGTTTTGTGCACGTGCATTTATGTTTTAGAAGGCAGCACTTTAAAAGATGAACGTGACCGTGCACAGTTTATCTCATTAAACTCTTCTCGTGTTGACGGCTGCAGTAACGCTCTGGTGTTGCTCATGGGAAAACAACAATGCCGTTTCCAGCTCTCCTGAGTTCTCCTGAGAGCTGCAGCTCAGAGATGGAAGTGCACGTGCCGGCGACCTTTCTCGTGCAGCCTCTAGCATTTTCAGACCTTTTCTCAGGGGGGGTTGAATTGAAAGGGGGGGGGGGGTGCAGATGGGTACATCCCCACTGTCGTTAGAGCCACACCACAAAAGGAGCATGTACCTCACACTTTGAGCCACGTACAAGTCAGGACCCGTGTCTCATGAAACGAGTCAAGCGATTCTGAGAACTGATGAGCTTTAAGATGAGACAAAAGTCAAGTTTTCCAGTCATGTTTTATCATTTGAAGTTGGTGCGTCTCCATAAATCAGCACTGATTTAACACAGAGCTTTGCTGGGTCTGGGCTGTTAACCAGCTTTCAAGCAGTTAACGAGCCAACGCTGTCGCTGACTTCTTAAACTATTCCTAATTCTGCCTCTGCCCTCAAATTGTACACCGTTCCTTCTCAAGGACTAAATAATCAACATAATTATCCTCAGTGTAACACTCATTTTGTGGTTGGATGACTGCATGAGAAATGGAACAGATGTTGCAGCTTTTGATGGCGGGCATAAAAGATGGCTCGTCTCGAGGAGCGCCACTTAAAATCCAGCCCCTCCCACACTCCGCTGGGTTCTGGTGCCTCGGATGGAGGGTGGCTGAAAGGAATTTTAATTACCAAACCAAAGGAAAATTCTTGTTGTCAAAACACGGTTAATGCTGTGCTGTTTACTGACAAACGCTGACATGAATTAATATTTGCCAAAAGATTACCGCTGACAACTTAATGTCTGTTGTGAAATAAAGTGTTTCTTACCAAGAGTTAACTGTGTGTTGTACACGATGACCCGGACTCCAGGCTTTAGCTCAAACTCCACCAAGTTCTGGTTCAGAGCACTGACAATAACATTGGATGCCTGTTGAACAACAACAAGGTCCATTTTACACACAGAACCATACCTCTGAACGGACTTAAATGGTTATTAAATGATCGTACAGGTCTACCTTTTCTAGCTCCTCCTCCGTCTTTTTCTTGTCCTCTGATTGGTTCTTGTTGGGTAGCAAGAAGAGCTCAGCGGCTGTTGGAACTCCTGGAAACACGGCCACCAAAAGCCGCTCCTCTGGGAAATCAGACACCTGTTGGATCCCAAAAAGACTTTATTAGACAAACAAAACTAAACTGACAAATGAGGATGAAATGTGCAAAAAGCTGAGGATACGTTTGGAGGTACAGTAGTCCCTCGCTACTTCGCGGGTCACTTTTCGCGGACTCGCTCTATCGCGGTTTTTCAAAATAAGATTGGACATGACACACAATTGGCTGATTGATGGATGAGCCACATGATCGACATGGGATCTTTATTTAAAATACATTGTTTTAAATTATTTAGCACCTGCTGCACCTGTGTTCAGCCCACACTGTCAGGATCTCGTTATGCAGCAGAAAAGCGGGCGTGGCCTAGAGAGCTGGCAGGTGGCAGAGAGCAGCGAGAGGCAGAGAGAGAGAATTAACTTCGTGTCAACGATCATGGCTGACTGCAGCTGGTAGTTTCTTTTTGCTTGCATAAAAGAAGTTTGTTGGACAGCACTCATTGGACTGATGAACACTCATCTATCCTCCTAACAAGGACAATTGGTCTGAAAGTGCAGAAGCCCCTAAGGATCAAGACTGGTGTGAACTGGAAACTGCTGGGATGCCAATATTTCTGTCCAGTGAAACCACTTTTTAATCACCTGAGAGGACCGAGAAAGAAGCTCCTGCTTCAAAATCCAAACCTTCGAGCTCAACTGACCAGCCAAACGTCTTGTGAAGAAAATTTTAGGGCAAGACTAAACAAAGATTGAGCTGTCTGACAGTGATAAGTATATTTGGAGTATTCAGTGAGGCTTTCAAACCTAAAATTGTTGTGCTGACTGTAGAGCACAGTGGTGGTAGCATCGTGCTGTGAACATTGAATCAAACATTAGTGTGGAGTGTATGCGTATATTTGATCCTGCGTGGAATCAGAGAAAATCCACAAAATTCAAACCTGAGCAACAAATTTCTGTTTTAAAAAAAAATCATTGAGGTTGAATGTATACTGGAAACACAGCCCTGGCTGATCTCGGACATGAACACCGTTCACTGGAACTTTAATGTTTTGAGCAGACATCACCACCATACGAATAGACTCAAAGAGATGTAATGCCACATGAAAAGAACGTGCAACTGAAAGGAAACAGAACCTCCATGACCTTCATCTCTACGCCTCACATAAACGAACAGTAAACATATATCCTGGAAATAATTTAAAGGCTTCTCTTCATCACATGGACAGAACACAAACATTTCCTGTTTCAATCTTGGGGTCATTATTTTTGTTTTGTAGGTGACTGAATTGACGTACAGGAATGTAAAGCAATACAATGGCAACGTATATAAACTTGTTCATTTAAGAAAAATCCAGCAGCGTTTCAGAGGCAGCTTTCTAATAAACCGTTGAAACAAATCAGGAAATCATGGTTTCTGCGTTTATTTCCAGAACAGTGTGAAGCCTCTAGCTTTTAACAAGTTTATACCAGCAAGGGAAGGCTGAACTTTGTCAACAATCACTCTTAATATACAGCCTGCCATGTTTTTATGTTTTCTCTATGGCTTGGGTGGATAATAGAGCCCATACGGGTAAAGTACATCAATTATCCTGCACAGAAATCACTATTGGAGCACCAAAGTAGTGGACAAATGATAGCCATGGGCACGTCTCGCAATGAGAAAAGAAGTGGTGAAGGGAGTGATGAAGTGAATCCAATGACAAAAGAGGCAATAGCTCCCGAAAAAAAAATCAATACCCTTGAACCGTGTTTACACTCGGAGCAATCAGTCATTAGTTTAAACATATGGTGGGCTCGTCTGGAGAGCTCCCTTTGTGATACCTCACAAATTCAAAGCTAGACACAGGAATCAGGGGAGAATGATGAGGAAGAAGAGCGATGAAGCCTCGGTGAAGACAAGGTTACTTACTGCAGGAAAGACACGTTTAGTTTTATGGTGCAATACTTTGTTTCTATTAAAGAGTTGCTCTTTAAAAGTGTGATAACTAAGACCTTTTATCTAGGTAATATGTCTGGCCCCATAAACTCTGGCTGATTTGTGAAAGTGCATTAACACACGTCACAGATTTGAACTACTTTCTAACTGTGGTTATCTAATGTGGGCATGTTTTGCTATGTAAATACCATTTATTCTTGTTATTTAATTGTTCAGTAAATGAAATCATGTCTGTCTAACCTTTGCGCCACCACACGCCCCAAATAAAACAGTTTTCAGTGTTACTGAAAACCAGTCCAGTGGACAGCTAACAGAGACTCATGAGGTCCAAACCCCAGGGGAGAAGCTGTTCCTCATCCTTGCTGTCCAGGATTTGAAGCTGAACAACCTCCTGCCTGAGGGAAGGGGGCAGGGTAGTTCATGAAATGGGTGGGTCCATCTTTAAACATTTTGCTCTGTTTTCTTCTTCTGCTGATGTAAATGGCCTCCAGTAAAAGGATGATGCTGTTGGTCATTTCTTTAATTCAATTCAATTCAAAATTCTTAACTAATCCCAAAGGAAAATTAAACGTTGTTGTAGCTCATCATCCTGGTTTCATTAAGAGTCGTTATATATGCTGATGGCTGTGGGCAGGAAGGATCTGCGGCAGTTCATCCCACAGCGGATCTGAAGAAACTGGCTACAGATGCCGATGGGTCCACCCAAACCCAGTGGGCTTCTTGGCCCTTCTGGGCAGCAGGATCACCTGAATGTTGGGCAGAACACCTCCTTGAGCGATGGCCACTCCTCTCAGCAGCTTGTTGAGCTCCTCATCATTGCAGAAAGCCAACTGTAGGTGTCGGTGTCATGAGCCACATTTCCTGCCAGCTCTAGGATCTCAGCAGTCAGTCACTCAAGCACCTCTGCCAGGTAGACGCAGATGCATCCACGGCGCCTCCTTTTCAACTTCATTTGGGATTTGGGGCTGTATTTGAGGTAATATTTGAGCTTTCAGGTGTTATTCAGCTGTTTCCGGTTGTAAAAACTACATTGTTGTCATGGTTACGCTTCATAACAAATGTCCAAAGATAAAAAGGTTTCAGATAAAATCTTTCCAGCTGTACAGCATCCAATACCAGAGGAAGTAATCATCCAAACAAAGTCATTTACATCCAGAAAAAAAGAGGAAACAAAGTTTTCAAAAGCAATATCCCAGAATGAAAGTAACAGCTATTCCAACATGCAGCCATGTTGAGCGGCGCAATTCTAGAACCACTCTTAATAATTTTAGAATTATTCTTCTCAGCACCTTCAGTTCCCATATCAGACTGTTAGGGAATATACCAGAAAGTCAGCAAAACGTTGGGTCAGATCTCACTTGTCTCAGTTTCTAGTTTTAAAAATCATTTAAAAGACATTCACTTGCACAGGTTTTCTTTTTTAGTAATGTCTTTTAACTTTGACAATGAACTGTTGTTAATGTAAATTGTGGTTTCCTTGTTTGTTATTGACTTCTATATTTTATTGTTTTGCCTAACTGTGTTTCCTTTCCCTTGACCCTACAAGGACCTGTTGGCGCTTGCTAGGCCAGCTCTGTAAATTTATTCAACCTTTATTTATACAAGTTACTCCCATTGAGTCTTGTGGCCTCATTTACAAGAGCGACCTGGTTTTAACAAAGAGTGATGACAACAAGACAACAATAGACAATCAAAAGGATGCATACAAATTGAGACTAACAAGTGAAAATAAAATGGTATTTAAAAAAGTAACAAAAAAAAGCTTGATTATAAGGCGATGTGGAAAACTAAAAACAGGAAGATGTCTGCGTTGGTTTTTCCCAGGAACTTAGCAGATGTTTGAAGCCACTTAGAGAAGTCAACGTTGAGAGCTTCAAATCTTTTTGCAAGATATTCCAGGAAACAGGAGCGGAGTAGAAGGCCCTTTTACCAAGTTCAGTCCTCACTGAGGGAACACTGCAGGTAATAATGTCCTGAGAGCGCACGCTGTAGCTGCACTCACGCAGAGACATGTAGGAGGAGATGTATGAAGGCAGCAGACCAAGAAGTGATTTAAAGATGAAAATGTACCAGTGAGAGAGTCTGCATGAAGTTAATGATGACCAGTTAATCAGTGAATACAGGGTGCAGTGGTGGGTACGATAATCACAGCCAGTTATGAATCTTAGCACACCGCGATAGGCAGTGTCCAATATATGCAGGGTGCTTGTTATATATATATATATATATATATATATATATATATATATATACTATTTCCTCATGGTATTCAGTTGCTTTAAGGCTGCAGCAGTCAAAATGTGTTAGCTTGATTGGTTGCATTAGGCTGTGGGGGAGTACCATCACTGTTAACTGTGTGAGCTTGAAATGAGAGAAATGTTGAGGGGATTTGTGAGGGAGTCAGCAGAAGATGGGCACAGTGGAATAATAAAAAACACCATTACCAAGCATGTGATCAGGAGCGGCCGCTTCACTGAAACGAGCCCAGGTGAGGAGACCAAAGTCACGACCTAAAAGACTCAGTGCCTGTGCTTCACACAGACACTCCTCCAGTAAATGGACCTGGACTTTAATTGTGAGTTTCCACTCCCTCTCAGTTGGGGAGTTGTTTACTGTGCTGGAGAGTTATCAGCCGGGGTCAAGCCTCTGACTGAAACAGAAGTTCTGTAGCACAACAAAACGGAGGAAAAATCAAGCGCCTCCTGTCAACACTTGGACGACATCGGGGCTGGATGTCAGCTGCACTCATCTACGCAGATATTCAGCCTTTTCACAGATACAGAGCACCTGATATCAAACTGTGACAGGATATTGTCAGAGGATGAAAACAAACCAAAGCGACAGTTCAGCCACCGGCGTAATATATAAAAACAACCCATTCTCCTCTTGTGTTTTTGTCTGCTTTGTCACTTTAAGCTGGAATCTCTACGGAACGTCAGACTTTAATCTGTGCAAACCTAAAAACAATTCATGGAAGAATGGAAAAGACAGATTAAAAAAGGGGCTTCTATTTTTCTTTGAAAACATGAATCAGAAAGAAATATTTTATCAACACCAGTTTGTTTAAGATCCCTTCCTTCCCGTCGTGATGTTTCTGTTCTTTCTCCAAGCCTTTATGGACATTCTGACATCAAAAATGTCAAATCATGTTGAGTTTCTGGTGCCAACGTGTCTCATTCTTCCTGAAACGTGTCTGAAGGCGTCCGACTGTATGGGGGTTGTTCTTGTCTAATCTTTGCTTTATAAGTGTTTCAAACTGACTGAACATTATTGGTTTTATACCTGGATTAATGAGCATAAACTTTGGTGTTTTGAACCACTTAGGCATGGTCTGCCTTGGGGGAGTTGACAGGGCAGAGGGCTGGCACTGGAGGCCATCTTATCACCAGCAAACTGTCTTTTCCCACTCTGGCAGTGAGCTGTTTGTGGGATTCAGTTTGGTTTGGTGGGCTCCTCAGACTGAATAAGTCCTTTGGATGAAGGATGAAACGCCTCATCAACAAAAGAAACCATCCAGATGACCTGGTTGAACATTGTTGGGTTCATACCTGGATTACTGAGCATGAACTTCAATGTTAATTTTCCAAAGTTTTCTGTCATGAGCAGGTCAAGACTGCAAGTAGGTCTGGGTTCTGTAAATAGACCTGGTCTTTGCAGATAGACCTGGTCTCTGTAAGTAAGCCTGGTCCCTTTATTTAGAACTGGTTTCTGCAGGAAAACCAGCTTCTGCAGTGGTCTGGTTTCTGCGGGTACTCCTGGATTCATGATATTCTGAGCCGTACAGGAGAACTCTGAAAATCCTTTTAGTCAACAACACTTTTATAAACTAAAAATCTGTTTTTATTTACTCCACAACAAAATTTTAATGATAATGTTTTATATTGCATCAAATCAGAACTGCAGCCATTTTACCATCACCGTTTTTAAGATAATTACCGACCTTTAATGGAAGAGTTATGAATATTACCAAATAAAATAAAGGTGACAACACAATATAATTATGACTGTTTTATTTTATTTAATTTTATTTAGAAAGCCGTTGATTGCAGCTTGTTTTGGAACTCTGAGTGTTTTAATCAGAAGCAGAGCCGTTGAACGTGGAGCTTCTTGCTGCACTGAAACTCTGTGCAACTCCAAAATAACTCGGCAAATGAACAACGAAGCGCTGCTTATTAAACTGCAGCTATTTCTTATTCCTGCTCACATTTCCCTTTCTTAATGAGATACCTGCGCGGCGACACAACAGAGAAGACAGACATTTGTGCTTTGAACACAGTCACAGCAGTCAAGTGTAGGTGGGAGCGGTAATGTAAAGGAGGAGGTCTGTCAGGGTACAGTGTGGATTGTTCTGCCACGATGTTTTTATGCTCCATGCTGTGAGTTCTTCCGCTGCCGGCTCATTTTAACAAGCTCCACTGATTAGTGAAACCAAAATTCTCATGCAGCTGCAAAATATCGGTTTGAAAATATTCCTGCAGGTTTTGTTTTCACAATCTCGTGGACATTTGAATCAAATTGCCACATTTTTCAGCCATTTATTTATCATTTTGAGCACAAAATGCAACATCAACGTCTAAAACTCCATCATTTAGAAATAATCAGTGTGAGCGTTCTCATCTGTTTGTGCAACTCGTTTTAAAATGTAGCTTCTAATCCTTAGAAGAGTTATTTTCCCCAAAAAAATATGTAGAATGGGAACAAAGTAAAATCTTCTCAGTACCATATTTGGATATAATTTCAATAAAAGAAGGGAAAAAATGCAGAAAAATAGATTTAAAAATTAAGAGTTCAGAAGAAAATGTGCCATAAAATACGAAAAAAAAAAACAGAAAAGAAGTTAAGCTATTCACCAAATTTCATGCTCAATAATCCAGGTAAAAATCCAACAACGTTCAATGAGTTGAGACGTTTCGCCCTTCATCCAAAGGACTTCTTCAATCTGAGGAGCCATCAACAAACTGATTCTCACAAATAGCATACTCCATAGTGGAAATAAACAGAAGAGTTGATGGGGGAGAGGCCATCTTAGCACCAGCAAACTGTTTTTTCCCACTCTGGAGTATGCCGTTGGTGGGAATCCATTTTGTTTGGTGGCTCCTAAGACTGAAGAAGTCCTTTGGATAAAGGATGGAACGTCTCAGCAACAACAAAAAAAAAGAAACCATCAAGACTGAACATTGTTGAAGTGCAGCTATTATTTAGATTAAGTGCATTTAAAATATTGACAATGACAGTTTTAATAGTTTATTTTTATTTAATTATATTTAATTCTGAAGGAACGTTGGAGGTTAAAAACTACATTTACTCTCTGAAATGTCAACATCAATCACCTTTCTTCTCTAAAGCCCAACAAGAGTTTGGGGCTTCTTTTGAAAATAATCTGCAATGACAGAACATGAACATTTAGATGTATACACTGTATGAGAAGTTTGAGATTTTAGAGTTAGGAAGAGTTTATTTTGAAGGTTTAGATTCCTTTAAGGTGTGACATCATCACTCTAGGTTTAACATTTGCTGGTAAAACATCTAAAATATCATAAAAACCTGTCATTGTGTAAAATCTGTTAAAGATCTCAAAAAGCCTGTTCAGCCTTGTAAAGTGCAACATTTTGTGATGGTTTTAAACTTGAAATAATGTTTCTGCGGTGAAGTCTGAGCTGCAGAGATCAAAACAGGACCAGATTACCCATTTTTGTCTTTGAGGACATTTTATGCAGGTTTTTGAAAACGTTGACATTTTGCTGCTACATGTTGATGCATGCTTTTAACAATTAAGTTACATTTTAATGTATTTTTGTGTTTTTTGTCAAATCTGAGAAATAAATTAAAATTCAAAAATACTTTATTAAGCCCAAAGGGAAATAAAGTGTCGTAGCTCATCATCGTGGTTTCATTCAAGAGTTGTTATAGATGCTGATAGCTGTGGGCAGGAAGGGTCTCCTGTAGTGAAGTTGAAGAATCTGGCCACAGATACTGATCCGTCCACCTGGATCCAGCTTGCCGTCAGATCCAGTGGGCCTCTCAGTCCTCCTGGGCAGCAGACTGCCTGAATGCTGGGCAGAATTCCTCCCTGAGCGATGGTCACTCCTCCCAGCAGTCTTCTGAGCTCCTCGTCACCATTGACCGACAGCTGAAAGTGTCAGGAGATGATCCCGGTCCTCCCCGTTTTCACAAGCAGAGCTTCTCACCAGCTCCATGACCTCGGTGGTCAGGTGAGCACCGCCGCCAAGTTAGTCAGGTCTCTCTTGTAAATGAGTCCTCGAGGCTCAATGGGATTTACCTGTCTAAATAAAGGTTGAATGAAAGTTGACAAGAATTCATCCACGGCACCTCCTTTTCAACTCATTTGAGATTTGGGGCTGTAGTTGAGGTATTTGAGCTTTTGAGATGTTAAACAGCTGCTCCTAGTTGTTAAAAAAAATGCCTTGTTGCCATGGTTACGCATCATAACAAATGCCCAAAAGTAAAATTTCAGTAAAAATCCTTCCAGCTGCACAGCATCTGATACGAGAGGAAATAATCATCCGAAAAAGCGATTTACATCCAGAAAAGAGGAATTAAATTTTCAAAAGCAATAACTCAGAATGAATGTAACAGAACTACTCCAACATGCAGCCGTCCCGAGCGGTGCAATTCTGGAAGTGAAACTGAAACTGAATATGAATTGATAAATAGTTAAGGTGGACTTCAGTGTTTTTGCATCAGGAGCTCAACTTGTACTGTATGTTTTATTGTCCCAGCCTAAAAGTTTTACATTTAATACAGGGTTTCTTTTAATGTATTTAGAAAATATTCTATTACATTTGTAGAAAGAGTATAGTTATTTAAGAGGTGACAAAGTCATCTTGATTTTACCTCATATTTAAATTTCAGAGCACAGGAAAAAACTAAAACAATTGACTCAAAAGCACAAGTTGGAGTTTGGGGTTATCGAGGTTGCTCGTGAGATCCCCCTCTATCGTCATAAAATACTTCTCCCAAAGCCTCCACCTGCAGCTGCTGTGCTCAATATGCCGCCAAGATGGCCATCAAATTCAGCGAGGTATTCATGAGCTGTGAATGGGAAGATGAGTAGCACTTAACGATGATAGGCGAGCTTCCCCCACACACACTCGGAGCACTTCAACCCCTCCTACGATCGAGCGAGCGCACTCGCATTAGACACCGTGACAGGTATCGTTACTCTTAGGTCTCCACCAAAACCCCAGTGCACAAAGTTTTGAGATTATTTTATCGGAGACTTTTGAAAGTAAGGAACCAGCGCCATCATGAAGCCATCCTGGGGGTGAAGGAAAGCAGAGGAGTCTTCACACCTGTCTGATGAAGACGCGCAGGGTGGCCCCAGGGCGTTCTCGTGGCGCATCAGTGAGCTTGGAGTGTTGGGCAGACAGAGGGCACGGGAGATAATTGTAAAAGAGCAAGCTGAGACAGAGAGACGGACGGACAGGAAGGCGGAGACGGATGGAGGCAAGAAGAAAGACAAAATGAAAATCACTCACTTGGAGCAGAGCCTTCTTAATTACTCTCCCAACGTCCTGCCTCCACTCGGGGATGTCGGGGTTGAACTCGTCCAGATTAGGGGAGAAAGATAAAAGTAGAGATTTGAAGAACTCTGCGGAGGAGAATCAGAGGGAGAATCAGCCATTAATTCAAACTGGTCTGAGGCCATTATTCTCAGGGAAATGTGCCAATTGTCATTTCACTCCAGTTGAGTTTGCAGGTAGTTACAAAAGAAGAGGTTATCTCATTCTTCCCTACACACCCACACACACACACACACACTTTCCATTGGCGAAATGTTCAAAACGCACTTGATAATTAGAAAATGTCACAGCTTCACACCAATCTTCCCAGCGGTAATAAATCCTTGCATTAAACAGATACTTGGTGCTGGACCTGCTCATGTCGAATAAAAACACATTCTTTAAAATTTCTAACTGGAATGTCATCAATTCTACTTTGTTTTTCCATTGAACCCTTATTTATACAGGTTAGTCTCATTGAGACATTACCATACTATCAGTTGGTTTTCTAATTACCTCTCAGATTGGATGCAATGTGTTCAACATAATGGTACTTCTTCAAGCTATTTAACTGTCAACAATGGTGTACCACAAGACTCAGTCTTAGGTCCCAGTCTCTTCACAATCTACATAAATAATGTAGGTCAGATCATTCCTGCTGATGCATCCTTATACATTTCTACGATGACGACACAGTTGTTTATTGTCGAGCTAAAACAGTTGCTAAGGTTTTCCAGCTTTTACAGTCTGCATTCGACATCATCCAGTCAGATTTATTTCTTCGCAAACTTGTGATAAATGTTGATGAAACCAAAGGGATGTTGTTTTCAAACAGGAAGCCAGTACCATCAGTCCTTCCTCCTATCCTATCTACAAATGGTGTTCCTATTGAGTTTGTCGAATCCTACAAATACTTTGGGAATTTTGGTCGATGCACATCTCTCTTTAAGCCTTATGTTGAAAACGTGGTAAAAAAAACTGAAAGTAAAACTGTCCTTCATTTTCAGAAATAGATCCCGTCTAACTCTGAATGCTAGGAAACACTTTGTATCTGCTACTTTCCTTCCGTCCATTGACTATGGTGACATTATTTACATGAATGTTCCTACAAGAACCTTGCAGATGTTGGATGCTGTCTATCATGGTGTGTTAAGATTCATAACTGGCTTTAATTACTGTACCCATCACTGCACCCAGTATTCATTGGTTAACTGGTCATCATTAACTTCAACCAGACTCTCGCTGGTACATTTTCATCTTTAAATCACTTTTTGGTATGCTGCATTCATACATCTCCTACATATCACATCAGCAGTGCAGCAAGAGCGTGCCCTCCCAAGACATCATTACCTGCAGCGTTCCATCACTGCAGATTGAATTTGGCAAAAAGCCCTTCTCTTACTCTGCTCCTGTTTCCTGGGAACACCTTGCAAAAAGATCTGAAGCTCTTGACCTTGACTTCTCAGGAATTTTAAACTACTGTTAAGTTCAATGCAAAAAGTGAACGCTGACCTTTGACGGCGATGGTCTTGGTGTCCTGTAGGATGGTGTTGCCTGCAGACACTTGGACGGTGATGGTGTGCATTCCCTCAATCGTGAAGGTGTGCGCGATGCTCCCATCCAGAGTTATCACTGGCTGCAGGCACAAATGTCAAAGATATAACATCACCTTCTTTTGCTTGTGGCCCAGTAGTTCTGTTCTACATCATTCAGATGGAAAGAGCCCAGCTGAGGCCGGTAAACAGGTAACGGAAATCTGTGTGCACTTGTGTCAAAGCTGATAGTTTGAAACGTTGAGACATTTGTGTTTTATAGGGCAGTTTATAAGTTAACCTGTAAATCTTTGGACAGGAAGCAACTGAGCATTTCAAAATCTGTTCCAAATCGTGCGTAAAACTTTTCTTTAACTGCCTCACATGGGAAATGAATTCCATGCACTGAATTTTGAACAAGTCAGAAACTTTTTGAACAATCCTTAGTGTTTAAACCTGAATGTTTGATGGGTCCTCGTTTCTTCTCTTTGCTCTAAACTCTAACTTTGACTCTAAGCACACATCAACGACTTCAGGCTTTGCTAGAGAACATTTCCAAAGTAAAAAGTACTTTAAAAAAAACTTGATTCTAGATGTTTTTTTTAATGTCTCCGGTCCGCTTCTTTAGAAGTTTGAAACATTTGTGTTCAGACCCACAGCTTTTAAGACGTTAGTGAGCCAACCCTAACAAACTGAAAGTTTTGCTACACATGAAGGGTGGGATTTGCCAGAATTGTGGCATTTTCTTTGGAATGTTTTTGTTTTGTATTCTACCTCAACCCATTTTTAAACTCCTATCCTGAACCCTTCCATAATGACTGCAAAGTATAAAAGTTAAATATCGAGAGCGAGAGAAACGTTTGTTGATTTGGGGGACTGTGTACAACTTTGAGTGTAAAGACAATGAAATTGAGGATCTCTGCAGGTAAAGTCTGCAGCTCGTTCTTCTCTTTCAGGGTTCGTTTGGACAAATCCATCGAGCTGAATGTTCGTAGAGATTCATGATGTTGAGTTTGTGTTAATTTTTTCCCAAATCATTTAGACCAACAGCCTAAATGACACGTATCTTTGACCATCAAAGGTTTTCTGTAGCAGCCTGAAAAGTTTCTTCTTTTATTATGATGAATCAAAGTTCAGAAGAAAAAAATATTAAGTTAATCTTTTTATCAGGAAAACCACAAACGTCCTGACGTTGTGACAGTTTTGAATGATCTTTCCCTGTAAACTTGCCTCATCTGGTCAGATTTAGCTGCATGTCATGACAGATGCTGACATTTCCTGTAGAAGTATTTATTGATCAATGGTAATAACGTATTTCGAACACATTTCAAGATGACCAGCATCAAAGTTATCCATTACACCTTTTGTAAACAAAATTTTTTTTTACATCAAAGTTCATGATCAATAATCCAGGTAAAAGAATCCAACAAAGTTCAGTCAGGTCATCTGGATGTTTTGTTTATTTTTTTTTTTATTGTTGAGACATTTTGTCCTTCATCCAAAGGACTTCATCAGTCCGAGGAAGCTATGGCTGCCTTAGAGGAGTCGACGGGGGAGAGGGAGGGCCTCAGAAACCACATTATAACAAGCAAACTAGTTGGTCCACTACGTGAGTGTGCTATTTATGGAACTGATTTTGTTGTGGCTCATCAGACTGATGAAGTCCTTTTGATGAAGGATGAAACATCTCATCGTAAAAGAAACCGTCCAGATGACCTGACTGAACATTGTTGGATTTCTACCTGGATTATAGAGCATGAACTTTGATGTTTTGAACCGCTTTGGCTATGGGGGAGAGGGTGGGCCCGAGAAACCATCTTATCACCAGAAAACTGGTGGGTCCACTATATTTGTGTGCTGCTTGTGGGACTCGGTTTGTTGTGGCTCCTTGGACTGATGAAGTCCTTTGAATGAAAGAGGAAACTTCTCAAAAAAAAAAAAAAAAAAAAAAATGGAAACCGTCCAGAGGACCTGACTGAGCTTTGTTGGAAAAAAAAATGTTTACAACTTTTTAAGCAGCACAGTGGTTCATTGGTTAGCCATGTCTCCTCACAGACACTTTTTTTTTTGTTGTTGTTGTTACTGCAGCTGCTGAAGATGAAAGAATAACAATGTTTCTGTCTGCGCCTGTGTGTGTGTATGTGTGCTTTGGAAAAACTCTGCAGACAGTTTGTGCTGATAAACTGCTGAAGAATGAAACATTTTCTGGAAACAAAACAAATTCCTGTGGCTTTACATTCCTCCACCTCCTGAGAATCGTCCCCAGCGTACCTCGGTGTTGTTGCCCAGCCACCAGAAGTAGGTGACGGTGCGTGGCTGGCTGGGTAAGACCGCAGCTGAGATGTTCACCTCCTTGTGTGTGATGATGACGAACGGAGCAAGAAGCTGGACGTGCTCCACCGGACCTGAGGAAGAAACGCGACAAACGAGAGGATCTGAGACAAATCAGAGTTTGCTTTTCATTCAGAAACACACAAAATAAAACATCTGAAAGAAACAAATCCCAAACTGACAGAGGCTGTGAAGCTCATTTCTTGGAGGTACAGCAAACTTTTTAAATGTCGTGGCTTTCAGCTGCGGTTCGTTTCATTCACAGTCCGAAGATCTGCTCCTGAGGTGCAGCGGTAAATAATCCAAAGGTGCGAGCGCAGCTGTGAACCTTCACAGGTTAGCTCTGCAGTAAACTATCAAACTGTCCAGGTGGGTCCTCTTCACCTTGTCAAAATGCATTCTGGGATACGATCCACACCCCAAGTAGGGAAAAAAGAATAAATAATAAAAATGAACACATTTTGGAAACAAATATCAAATCCACTCCCAGAAAAGTTTACCTGAGAGACAAGAGGGCTCAGACTGGAAGTTCTGTTGGAGTTGAACCTCTCAGTCCGTGTGCAGGTTATTTTATTTCATTTATTGGATTTGAATTAGGCAGGAGGGGTGGGGGGCTGTCCTAATTTAAAACAGAATAATAAATTTGAGTTTAACTGAAATGAACAGTAATGGGCCACTCTGTTCAGTTTAGTGCCCGATTTTATTTTTGTAACAATGCTTGTTAAGTGACTTTAATCTTTATAATTAGTCTCGGAGCCTCATGCTGGCAGATGTGCTGACTTTATGGAATAAATAAAACATACTGTGCTGGACGGGCCTTTTTAACAACGTGCACGCTGGGATGCCACTAACAAACAACTGCAATGTGCGTCTGACCGTATGTTCAGTATTCACAGCAAACATTCTGTGTTGTATTTACAGTATTCTGCAATATTACAATCACAAATGACAAGAAGTCATTATTGCTTCACAGGCAGGTATTAAACGTTAAGTCTTTCAAGTCTATAAGAGACGGATAATCATGTGAATTGCTTGTGATGGCAGTCTCTTGTCTGTCTGTTAGTAAAACATCTCATGAACAACTGCACTGATTTTAATGAAACTCAGAAAGTAACTACTGAAAAAGAATTGAAGTCAATCCAGTTCACTATGGCTGCCACAGGCAAGTGACCTCATACAACAAACGGATATGTCAGTTTTAACATAACTGAGCTGACGTTTGGTGTGGTAGTAGCTGAGACGGATCCTTAACAAATACACTGAGATCCAAGAGATTGTACAACTTCTTTTGTTTGAAACTGTGGGGCGCAGCGTGAAGCAACATGCATTCCTTCAAGGAATGCCGCTTTTACTGCCCCCCCCCCCCCCCCCATCGCAGCACTTCAAACACCAGCCATTGGTCAGTCTGTACGTTTCAACTTGTGAGATGGATAGCCTGAAAAATAACTGAGGTACTGACTTCCATTATACACCATTTAACACAACATTCTATGGTGTACAATACAATACAGCTTTATTTATTAAGCACAAAAACAATAACACCATTGGACAAAGTGTTGCACACTGATAACACAAAAACAAATATAAAAATAATCAAATTAATGAAAATTCTAAATATAATGAACTGTTAAGATACAGACAGACAGACAGACAGACAGACAGACAGATAGATAGACAGACAGAAAGATAGATCGATAGATCGATATATAGATATCGTCACTCGCCCTCGAGCAAGACGCATGCTTTTCTTCCCTCTCCTGCCTTCCTGCTGCTTTTTTTGCTCTCTGTCCTGTGTATCGAAGCTTCTTCACATCTTCCGAATCGTAAATTACTGTAATGGATTTGGTCAGCTGGACTTTCAATGCAATTAATAACATTTTTTCAACCAAGCGACAGCGTGCTGGAGAACCCTCATGCCCCGCTGAGGCACACGCAGCTGGGTACGTCATGGATCCGTGGGGAGAGTGGAAAATGTTGTGCCTTTCTGTATTGTCTCTGGAGGATGTTGACTATTTATACATCATTGGATTTATAATAGCAGGGTTTCTGCTTTTTGGCACCGTCGGATACCTATGTTATCGGCTATTAAGAAAGACGGCGGCAGCAGTTTCGGCCATGGCAAAGCTGCCAACCTTACGTGAAAGATTAGTTTGTGCTTTGAGCTCTTAGACTCAGCTGATTTACGAGCTCAACCGTAAGATGGAAGCAATTGATGAGAATCATAGGCCAGTTGCGGCTTCTGGAACTCGCCAACATGTTGGGGTTGACCTTGGAGAAGGCTAATAAGCATGGACAGGGAGCCCACACATCTGGCCATTTTGGATTACAGAGCGTACCAGCAGAACTCAAGGCAGATGAGAAAAACGGTCTACCTGCGCAAAAAACAACTGTGGTTTATCTGAATCTGGCCTCCCTGTTTGGCCTTGAATAGCTCCTGGGGATGTGTAAACTAAGAAGGCTCTGCTCCATTTTCCCCCCCCCCCCCCCACACCCCACACCCGAGAACTTTTGTGAATGCCTATCAGTGCGGTCACTGGTTATTTGAGGGAACTATGCTTTCTAGTTTTCAAATTGCTTGAAATAATGGTATCCTCTAATGATTTTGGGGGTTGGGGGTTATAGGTCAATCTGTGGTGGCCACTTTCACTGCTTTGTATTTTTTCAGCCACCAGTTAAAGGAATATTTTGTCTCCTGCATTCAATTTTTCATCCAAGCTTTAACCACCCTAAAGCAGTGGCAGCAAAAATCCACTATCTTTACATTTTCAATCCATCACTGCAGTTTGACATAAAGTCCCATTTTGACAGTAAAACTCTTTTGACGACATCATGTATTTTTGACGTTACCTGTTGGAGTACTGACCTTCCCTTTAAGAAGCTAATGGGATGTAACGGGAGCACTTTAATCTGAGGGATGAAGTTTCCTGCTGAGGACAGATGTAATCCACTACTTACACAGAAAGCCTCCAAAGAAATGTGTGAGCAGCGTTGTGGTCCGGGCTGCTTCCTCTGAGCCGCTCCACAAATAATCTTTATTCCTACTTTTAGATGCTCCATGTGTGTGTGAGTGTGTGTGATCTGTGTGTTTTTTTAAATGTGAGGAAGCCTTGTGGTTATAAACAGGCACGGCTATGAAACGGTTGTTTACGTTTGTGGCGTTTCTCCCTGAATGTTACACTTCGTCTGTGAGATTACGGCTGTCAGACGTGTAATAACACCAGCACGCTGACACATCAGGATGGCAGAAGGTTAAATTAGAATAGATTGAACAAATCAGTGGAACAACATCATGACAGAGAGACAATTTAACACTTACTGAAAGCAGCTTGTATAATTCCCACAGAGTGTTAAAAGTATTTTATTGTGTCTGAGCAGAGCTGCGGAGCATGACAATCGTGTAATTTGTTATGTTTGTTGCAGTGTGACACTCGCTCCACTTTTAAATTAGCTGCTGCTCGGGTTTTGGATTCTGATGAAACATCTATTAACTGCGGTGGACTGAAAGGCCTTCTTCTGTTCTTTTCCTCAGGAAAACATTTCTTAGATGACTTTGTTTATGATTTTCTTCCTGAAAGTTGTTTGTGTTCATCACAGCTGATACACATGGTCCTGCGTATTGATCAGCGGAGCTAACCTGTGTTGAGCTTAGCAGAATCAACAGGGTGCGATTCATTTCAAGCTATGTTAGTATAGGAAAAAAAAGTTCTCAACTGATTCTCCTAGAAATCTCCTTTACTGCATGAACTTAATACCTCCACACCACCACCAACATGTCCAGGAAATAAGAAAAGAAAATGTCAGCATAGATGTAGAAATCTCACAGTTGTTGGGGCTCCCTTTACACAGAAGTAAATAATCAGCCAAATTGTTGATGGTCTTTGCAGGGTCTCGTGGGTCTACTAAGAACACAGAGGATGATAGACTGTAGTAGATCCACAGAGATTGAGTGTGCACCAGTCTTCCATAGTAAGGTTACAGTGGTTCATCCTGCTTGGCGGTGTGGCAGTGTATGGTTGGTCTACATGTATGACTTGCAGCCTGTCCTCACTGTCATGAGACGGTGGTTTTGGAGCAGAACCCAATGGTGCAGGCAGGACTCGGAGTCCAGTCAGTTAAATGAAAACACTTTTCATGATACAAAATAAAGAGCTGTCATGGCAGCTAAACTCAATCCTGAACCAGAGGCACATAGAAAAACACAGGAAACATCAGGAATGCAGGAGGCTTTACCAGACGATGCCCAGCCAACAAATAGCACAAAGACATAGACTTGTATACAGTGACTAACGAGACTTAATGTACAATGCTTGTGAGCTTCACAGGTGTGGGAAAATAGAAGCAATGACACACAAGGGAGCAGGACAGAGACACAACACCAGATGGAGCCATACACAAGAAAAACACAAACCCTATAAAAACAGAAACTGAGGATCAGGAAAACATCAGACATAAACGCAACACAAGATGGGGCTAGACACCATGAAAGACAAACCACAATCTTACACTCCTGTGGCTCGGCCATGTTAGCCTTTTATGCCATGAAGCCCACTCCACTCTGGCAACGCTCAAAGTACTGAAAGTTACAGAAGCTCTCACCGCACAACTGTAGCGGCTAATCCACACTTTCCACATAAGTTCAAATGTCCTTCAGTTGCATTTTTTAGGACACAAAGCAAGAAGCACTTCTTATCATGGCAGACATGAAAAGCAGTGCACGTAGATGGAGTTCTGCACAGTAAAAGCCCTTCACCATCATCCTCTGATGCTGCTGGCTGTGGTTCCTTCAGCAAGGTCAGATCTGGACTCACGGGACCTCAGTCCCAAATCTCATTACCGAAGAAACGTACAAAAATACAATAAATGTCTGCAATTTGTTGAGAGAGGGACCCGGAAACTCAACCACACACAGGAGTAAAAATAAAATATTTATTTTAAAGTTCTATCATGAAGTAAAGTCCTGAGGTGGGGAAGTCAACAGAAACCTGTAGAGCTTGATCACAGGGGAAGAAGGAGTTGCAGATGCTGCAATGACGTCAGTGGTGAGGCTGTAAGGTTCGACAAAATCCTTCTCTTCAGATTGCGGTGCTTGGTTCTGAGGTTGTGGTAAAAAACAGGAGCACGGGTGCTTCACAAAAAAGATAGAAAAGGCTATACTTAACACAGGGGCTAGGTGAAAACCGGTGGTCAAGAGGCAGAGCGAGGATCGAGGTCCAGATATCTGATGGCTGAAGTATTCCGTCACTGGCAAGGCAAGGGCAAGATCTTCATGCTCATGAAAATGGGTCAGGGACCAGAACAAAAACGAGAACGCTGAATGCTACAGTCATGAGATGATCAGACAATCTGGCAGAGAGAATGGGCAACAGGGCAGGGCATGAGTGTGATAGCGGCGGAGAAGTGGGCGTGGCACGTGGCAGTGAGCGGCGATCATGATAAACGTCTATTCAAATCAGAGCTTTTACTGCTGAAATAATGTTTCAATATCATGGTTTAATTTGTGTTTTATACAAGGAGTATCCATTTCAAGCCAACCCTAATCTGGGCTGAGTGTACTCTGGTAAATGTACTCGTGGCATGTTACCTCAATGCTATTAGAAAATAAAAGTTTATTTTCTAAATTAGAGACTCAAGAAGACGTTTCTCTTGTCGTTGCAGAGGCAGAGTGATGCTGTGTCAGAATCAGGCTCTTTGTCCTGCTGGTCTGGTTAAATAGTTTTTAAATGTGTTTAAAATTTCAGCCAATTAGGACAAATTTGTTGCAGTAACGTCGTTTAGACGCGTTAGCGTGTTACAGATGTGGTGTGATCTTATAGGTGCAACATGACTTAGTCCTGTGTGGTAGCGTTATTGTGGGAGTGTAACGTTTGACACAAAGAGCTTAGTGAGGGTTTAGGACAGAGTCTGAAATAGGCACTGGAGTTTCTGTTTGGTGAGTACTAAGAGCGTAGCAGCATTTTGATTGCCTTAATGTTGGAATAGGTCATGGAGACTGAAGTTGCGTCTTCATCCAGGTTGAAGGGACCGAACTCAGACATTTGACTTTTGCTTTTTACATAATTCTATTTAAAAGTAGCTAAAATAAATACATTTTTAATCCTTTAATAATATATTAAGAACAAGGGTTTCAGAACATGAAGTCAGACGTTTTTATTATGTTTATTTTACTTTCAGCGTCAAACACGTCATGGTGAAGCACACAAGTTTTAAAGTCTGTAATGTTAACTTCAGGCGTAATATTTACTCTGTCATGACTTCCCTCCCTCGCAGCAGTTGCGCTGTGAATGGGTTTAACAAAATCAAACCAGGGAGTGATGGGTGTGAATAATTTAGTGAAAAACAAACTTCCTGTTAGTTTAATTCAACATCTCAGCAGCTTCAAAGATCATACTTTCCATACGTCATATCTAAAAGAGTACAGACTGCCTTAAAAGAAAATGAAACATAAATGAAATGTGCTTTTCAGAAACTGCTTTCACACAGAATGAAGCAGGTGTCACCAGCCTGACACCTGCTTCATGTATGTGCAACATGTTGGGAGGTAAACAGGCCCAAACCAGTCAGACAGGGCTGCCTGAAAAGTTTTGAAAAATCATAAAGGACAAAAATGATTTAAGGAAGAATTCATTTTATGCAAATTAGATGACAAAACTGGGCTGCGACATAAGACTAGCTAGCGTTTCAAAATTGCGGAAAAATTTCTAGGATATAGATATACCCATATATGTGAAATATGCTTTTACGCAAATACACAATTTTTCATTGCTGTCTCACTAAATTGTTGGGTTTGGTATCAATGAGTCATGAAACCCTGTTTTGCAGGGACTGTTTATAAAAACTTATGTATATTTTGGTTCCTCAGTCAGAAAAGGGTGGACTGTCATGTCTGGGTTGGGAGTGAGGTGCTGCCTCAAGTGGAGTTCAAGTATCTGTGTTTTGTTCATAAGTGAGGGAAGAATGGAGCGGGAGACCGGTGCATCTTCTGCAGTATTGTTCCGGTCCATTGTGGTAAATATGGAGCTGGTCAGCAATGAGAAACTCTTTGTTAACTAGTCGGTACACTCGCCTATAGTCACGAACACTGAAAGAACAAGATTGTGGATCCATCCATCCATCCATTCATTATTTTAACACACTTCTTCCTTTTTGGTTCGCAGGGGTCTAAGCTTTACGGGCATGTCCAACTTGGAGAAGACCCAGGATATTATGGAAAGACTATGTCTCAGCTGATCTGGGAACACCTTGGAGTCCTCCCAGAAGAGCTGGAAGAGGTGGCTGTGGAGAGAGACGACTCTGGACCTCCCTGATAAAAATGCTGCCCCCGAGTTCTGAGTCCAGAACAAGATTATGGATGGATGGTCTATGTTTGTGCGCACAGCTTGCAAACCAGCATTCTTGGCATTCATGATATTTCGTAGTCCTCCTCCGCGCACGTCAGACCAACCTCAGCAGGTGTCCTCTATGTTTATGATTCCATTTACTGAAATACACGTTAGAAATAAAGATGGGCAGATGTGAAACCCCGTTTTTCAGGGTTTTTATTTATCATTGGTGTGGTTTCAGACCTGAACATTTGTCTGATGTCTTCTGTCATAAAAAAAGCTCTGTCACTCTTAAGTAGAGAACCCAACAACAGATTTTTGACTATTTCAAGAGAAAATTTGTCACGTGACTGTTTTACCATACCATACCATACCAATTTATTTATATAGCACTTAAAACAGCAACAAGGCCAACCAAAGTGCTGTACAAAAGAACACAAACATGCACAGCGGACAGGAAAACATAAAATAGAAATACAGATACAAATAGCAGCAGAAGCTAACTAAAATGGCCAACAGAGTAGAGAACAGACCGGACCAAAACAAATCACACCGTGTTAAAGGCAAGCGAATAGAAGTGGGTCTTCAAGCGAGACTTAAAGACTGAGAGTGTGGGAGCCTGCCGGACACTCAGTGGCAACTCATTCCACAGTCGTGGACCTGCAACAGAGAAAGCCCTGTCACCCCTGAGCTTACGACGGGTTTCTGGGACTGAGAGAAGCATCTGGTCTGCTGACCTCAGAGCGCGCGGTGGAACATATGGCTGCAGAAGATCAGTGAGATAGGATGGGGCGGAACTGTTCAGTGATTTAAAAACATACATGAGAATTTTGAAATGGATCCGAAGGTGAATGGGTAGCCAGTGCAGGGAGGCCAAAACTGGCGTGATGTGCTCTCTATAGCCTGTACCAGTTAAAAATCGGGCTGCAGCATTTTGGACCAGTTTTGAACATGTTTAAAACTTAAGGCATTGAAATTGAGTCGTAGAGACTTCCTTGTGAATGCCAGCAAGTCACAGTCCAGTGAGACGGCACCCAATACATTTCAGAATCCTGAATGAAAGTGAGAGTGAAGTTTATTCCCTTCAAAGTTTTGTAAATATAAAAATACCTCAAGTTGTAGACAGGAGCTCAGGTTTTATTTTAAGACACTTACAGGTGATGTGCAGGAAGAGAGTGGTGGTGTCGTAACCCAGCATGTTCTCTGCCAGCGCAGTGACACGAAATATTCCTGCAGATCTGTAGACGTGTTTGATTCCCTCCTCGGTCCAGCTCAGGTTGGAGTAGGAGACGGCTGTGCCGTCACCAAAATCCAGCTGGATGTTTGTCTGCAGGGAGTCGCCCTGAAACAGAACAGCCGAGCTTCAGTTCACCAACTTTTTTACCGATAAATAAAACTGAATGAAAGAAACCTGACATCAGTTTCAGAATCAACCGTAAAATATCAGACACACACACAAGTTTGGTTCTGTAATCTGGATTTAATTTAAACTGGTGTACTCTCAATTTACTGATGCTGAAACAAGAGCAGAGCAAGTTGAATCTCTGGCGGCTAAAAAACAGATACAACAGTCATCAGTCATCTCTTACAGCTACAACTACAAAACATGTCCACGATGGCAGCTTAGATGCAAAGAAAAGGTCACAAGACAGCTATCAGCCATATTATTATGACCCCCTCTCTAATTTTTTTTGTTCAGTTTTATTTCACCTTTCCCAGCTAATCTCATTGAAGCCTCATTCAAAAGACAGATCCGTTTGTGGTGACTGTTATAAGACTGCTGTTACAGTCAAACAGTGCAATCTGCAATTGAACAAGTGGTCCGCCAATGTTCTCCATCGCTGAGGGATTTCAATAGTGACGGTTTGGATGGAGGGCATTCAATTGTCCCCTTCACTCTGCGACGAGGGACAATAAAAGTAGCACATGAAACGGAGAGGATAATTAAAACAGGTACATGTTTTCACAGCTTTCTCTTTCAATGGTTTTAAGATACGTTTAAAATAATTTAATGGGACTAAGTTGTCCAGTTTCGAGTCTTTATGTAGTTTATTCCAAGAAGAAGGAGCAGTGTCTTTAGCAAGGGTCAAGGGAACAAAGGACTGTGAGCAGAGGTTGTGGCAGAGAAGAAGGCCTTCTCTGTTGCAGGTCCAAGACTGTGGAACACTACATGTCAGGCAGGCTCCCTCTCTCGCTGTTTTTAAGGCTCGTTTAAAAACCCACTTTTATGCCCTGGCTTTTGACACCGTGTGATTGTGTTTTGAACCTGTATTCCACAGAGTTAGCCATTTGGTTATTATCTTTTCCATTTGGATCTATGTAGTTTTTGCTGTGTGTTTTGCTTGGTTGTTTCTTCTGTACAGCACTTTGGTTGGCCTTGGTGTTTTAGGTTTAGTCCCTTTAATTTGAGTTATTTGGTCATAAGACAACAGTTAATGCAGTTTCCATTCAACACATTTATAAACTTTAAGACTCAAATAATAAAAAAAAAAAAATCCTTCTTGTTGCCTACAGGAGTTCTTTCACTTAAATCAATTTGTTCTGTCAATCATTAAGTAGAAGTTTTCCTTCTTTCAGCTGCTCCCTTCTTCTGTAACATTTACAAAGTGAGATGGAGGAAGAAGGGTGACGCTTTCTCCACTACCCTCCACTACATTTGTTTTTATTTATTTAGCGCTCGTTAAAGCGGGGCACCAGCTGGTCAGTTTATTGACCAACAACTTAATTAATATATTCACCTTTAATAATCAGAACTCTGTCACAACCACAGACCACCGAGCTACCACAGCCCTCCCAGGGGAGCACATAGTGGGGGTTAAGAACCTTGCTCAAGGGCCCAGAACGGGACAGATAAGGGTGGAGGCAGGTGTGGGTGTTTCACCTTTCCCACCCACATTTTGATGTTGTTGGTCCAGGGAGTTGAACAGGTGACCTTCCATCATCGCTTTTATTGTCCCCTTGGGAAAATTTTCCTTTCAGCAAGGTGACGAGAAAATTAAAACACATAAACAACCACACCACAAAATTAGATCACAGGCCCACCTTCTCTAACCTCTGTGCCACTCCTCCTCCTCAGTCATTAAGAAGAATAAAATACACACACACAAACACACAAAATCCAACTTATTAACTGTACTGAACTTTGAACTGAGCAGTGGAGGTTCTGTAACGAGCAGGAAGAGGTAAAAATGACACTTTTCCTTCATTTTACAGCGACTGGCCTCGGCTCCCAGAACACTGATGGAGAGCTGGTGAAAGAAGATGATGCAACACGATGGTAAACATGCTGCCTGTTTTTAACGAGTGCTGTTGACAATGAGAACTTTTCGTCTACATTTTATTTCCCAAGCTTTACATATGTTGAGAACATGACATTATTATTATTATATACTTTTATATATATATATTTTACGTGCTTTTTAAAAAACATTTGGTTGTGTGCGAAAGAGGAAAACAGAATTTTAAAGGCGCTGTCGACCCATGTTTGCATTGCAGAGTGTTAGTTTTCAGCTGCAGGCTCCGCTTCCTCCGGTTTCCTCTGGGAATCACATCTGGTGCTATCTGAGGATCGGCACACTGCGCGGGTGTTGGTGCCTCTAGCTGCTACGCTGACCAGGGCTGAGAAGTCCAACTCTCAGACTCTGCTGGCACGATGCCAGCACGAGGCTACTGGGATCATTGTTTGTAGCATCGCATTAACACGACGCCTTTATCCCTAAATACCATAAATAAAAAGTAACTATTGTTCTGCTTTCTGTGTGTACCTGGGTCTTGTTTGTGTGCGTCGGAGTGTGAAAGCACCGGGGGTTTGGCTGAGACTCATGGTGATGTTTCCTGTTCCTCTGCCTGGAGGATGATACTTTTAATAAGTGGATGGGAAGAACAGGAAACAGCCAAGGCCACAGTGTGACACTGTGGGTATTGTTACAAACTGTAATGAGCTGGCACACGACACTGGCTTGGTGTCACTCGGCTCCTCTCAGCGTCTGCAGCGCCTTCAGTGTTCACGCTCCACATGAGCCACACTGGGATTCACTCATCTACATGAGAGTGATGCTGACCACTCTCTGAAATGTCACTCTTTGTGTCCGTGCGTCTCCGAGGACTGAGCACATCCAAACATTTGGCCGTCTGGAGCCTCGAGGCTGAGACGTTGCTGCTGGTTCCCAGTGACAGCGGCGTTGTAGAGACTGACAGGGGTTTGGATACACGAGGCCAGCATTTGTTAAGCTGCATGTCAGACCTGAACCTGCAGTGTCGGTGTGATGAGGAACGACAAAAGAACAATGATTCTGGTTATATCTGCAGCAGACAGGCCCATCATGTATTCTGCAGCAAAGGTTAATACTTGGGTTTAAAAATGAAAGGAACATGTTTCATTCAAAGTTAGTTCAGTTGCCTTTATAATCCAAAGAGCCATTTCTGCTTCTTCTTTCACTAAAACAGTTTGACCAGAGTCACAAAACCCATTAAACAACTTAAAGGATTTGTTATAAATCCTACAGAAATTAACTTTAGTTTCTTACATTTTAAGATGAAAGGACTTTATTTAACTCTTGGCATTTATTTATGTTTAATTGTCAGAATAAAAAAGATTAAACATGTTCAGAAGTAAATATAAGTGCTTGTGATGTACCTCTTCATTAAATCTAAACCATAAATTATTCTGGCTTGTGTGAGTTTTGGTCAATATGTGGTTCTTAACCCACCAGCAGGAGCAGTTTGCACTTCTTTGTGAAAGGAACAACAGGATGAGCACTTCAAGAGTCATCCAGAATGACCTTCAGCAGGACACATAAGGCCCCAGCGTCCTGTCGTGGGCTTTGTAAAAGTAAAGTAAAGTGCTATGTGTCATCATTTTATGTTCCACACAATTGGTTCTCTGTATTTAACTCATCGCACCTGGGATACACCCAGGTGGAGCAGTAGGCAGCTATGTAAGCGCCCAGAAAGCAATTAGGGAGCTGGAGATCACGATACGATGACGCCAACAGGACCAGATCATCTGCAAAGAGCAGAGATGGAATCCTGAGGCCACCAAACCAAAAACCCGTAGCCCCCTGGCTGCACCAAAAAATTCCGTCCATAAAAGTTATGAACAGAATTGGTGACAACGGGCAGCTCTGGCGGAGTCCAACTCCCACCCTGATGGGGTCTGACTTACTACTAACAAGGCGACCAAACTCTTGCACCGCTTGTATAGGGACCCAACAACCAATAACAATGGGCCCCCAATCCCATACTCACGGAGCACCCCCCACAGTGTACCCCGAGGAACACGATTGAATGCCTTCTCCAAGTCCACAAAACTGTTGGAACTGTCAGATGCCCGATCTGGTAAGGATGCTCCCTGGGCGCCTTCCTAGGGAGGTGCTTTGGGCATGTCCAACTGGGAGGAGACCCTGGGGAAGACCCAGGACACACTGGAGAGACTATGTCTCTCGGTTGTCCTGGGAACACCTTGAGGTCCCCCCAGAAGAGCTAAAAGAGGTGGCTGTGGAAACAGATGTCTGGGTCTTCCTGCTGAAACTGCTGCCCCCGCGACCTGACATCGGAATAAGCGGAAGATAATGGATGGATGAATAAATACAATGGACAGTTTGTGCTTGTTTTTCCAAAGAAAATACTATTTTTAAATTTTGTAATAAAAACATATTTAGTTCTAGACATTTCAAAGCACGTTTTTTGCTAAAGTTTATGTAACATCTGGAAATTAAAAGCTTCTTTCTGTCATTTTGACCTTGACTAAGAGCGGCTGCACACAAAACTAAAATATTGCCAAACAAATGCATCTAAAGGACACCATGAACTGGTTCTAATTAACACATTCTTCACAACTTAGAGCCAATAAAACTATAATAAAAGCTCTAATTAACAGAACACTTTAGTTTTTGAAGGGAAGGGGGGAAATGAAAAAGGGGAATTGTGCTGTAATCATTGTCTGCGGTCCAATTTACACCCAGAGCTGGCACCGTTTTTGTTTTAATCAACCTTGCCAGCAGAAAGGAAGCCAAACCTGACTGAGTGAAGCCATGAACTAACAGGAGTTTATTTAGTCAAAGCTAACTGTGTCACCATCTCATTTATTCTGCTTCTAAAGCTGCTGAAGGTTCAGTAAAAACACATTCTGTTCGGTTTTAAAGATGACAGAATATGATTTTGGAATTACGGCACAATTATAAAACAATCAGCCGACACTTTAAATTATTAGGAGGATATTTTAAGTTCAAACAAAAGAAGCAAGAAGACATTGTTTTAGTTTCCTCACCAGTGGTGATACAAACCTATAGGAAAGATAAAAAAATATATATAATAACAAGCATAAGGTGTACTATAAGACATTGAAAATTCACTTAACATTGTCTAAAGAACAAGATGATCCAAAAACACAGATACAAGTGAAAGTTCAAAACATTCTAATTACTTTGTACGCTGTTAGGAAACATCCTCAATCAGAGGAATCAATGTTTGTGGAGCACATTTGCGGACTGCCTTTGCAAATCAAGATGGCCGCCTTAGCTGAAAGGGAACATTTATGATGATTCAGCTATTTTTAAAGATATAGAGCTGAAATTTGGTGTGGTGGTAGCTGACAGTGACGCACAACACATTCTGAATTCAAAGCTAAAAGTTCAAGATGGCCACCAAAGCTCATCTCACATGGCTATAACTCAGCTGCTTTGAGAGCTTTTCAGTAGAAATTTGGTGTATTGGTAGCTGAGAACAATCCCTAATAGACCCTGGTGGCAAATCAAAAATTAAAGATGGCCGCCTGAGCTAAAAATAAAAAATGCCATAAAACAGTCATTTTTAAAAACATTAAGCTGAAATTTGGTGCCGGTAGCTGAGAGCAATGCTCAGTAAATAATTCAAATAAAAAACATTTAAACGGCTTTAACTCAGCTATTTTTACACAGAGCTGAAATTTGATGTGGTTATAGCTGAGAGCATTCCCCATCACATACTGAATCCAAATCAAAAATCCAACATGGCCGCCATAGCTTAAAAGAATAAATGACTATGACTCATTGATTTTTTAATTTTTTTTTATCATATTGAGCTGAAAGTTGGTGTGCTGGTAGCTGAGAGCGAACTCCAACATGCAGTCCTGTCAAATCAAAATATTAAATTGGCAGCAGCGTGGCAGTCCCCGTCATGATTTAATTTATTAAATTTTGCACTGATTATTTTGCACATAAAGTTATTAATTCAGTTCCATCCTGCACACACGATTCACAGTTTATCTTCTAAATTCTTACGTGTAAGAAACAAAATACCGCAGACATTTTCTTGCTCATATTATAAACTACAGAACAGTTTTTTTAAATTCTTCTTCATTCTTCTCCACTCCAGCTCCAACAAAACTATAAAGCCTTAAATTAAAACGAGTCTTTGAAGCCGAATGCAAAGTGAACTGTTTGAGATTTGGCTGATGAGGATTCAGGCCTGAGCCCCTCACATCTCTGCCATCTGCCTTCTGAAACCTGGATCCATCTGCGCGGGTAAATATTGTGTTTCGTTAAAGGTTTTAGAAGAAAACAAAGAGCAGAAGTGATGCTGATCCTCTTTTATCTCAAAATATGTCCCCCCCCCCCCCCCCCCAGTTCTATTTTTAAATGTGGACGTGAGCCGTGGAGTCTTCTGCTCATTAAATATTTAAAGCCATTTGCTCTCCTGAAGAAATACAGCCATCACCGAGCTCATGAATAGAAATTAAAGTTTGAATTCATCAGGAGAATTCTCTCAAATAGGTTGATGCCACAAGGATCTCAATGCCCACCATCACTTTCTTTTATCGCATCCTTCTGCATCCTTCCTTTCTCCAGAAAGTAACTAAAAAAAACAGTTCTCACATTTACAACCAAATACATCGTAAAACAACTGGACCTGGAACTAGACCCCCGGATCCCGCAGCAGATACGAGCCAAGCGGGTTGTGTGAACATGGAGGCAGTTTGGTGGTGGCCAAGCAGCCTGGCAGGCCTGGCTCTGACGGCGGCGCTGCTCGCTCTCTGACAGCGTCTCTGCCGAGGTATTTTGCTTCTGCTTCTGGCTCGCAGCTCCTGCACGGCGTGGGCGGTTTGGAGGCAGCTGACTGCGTTCAGCTTTAGAGAGCGTTTGGAGTGCAGCGACTTTCCAAGAAATCGACAGACATGACTCGAACTCTACGTGCGCTTCAGGGGATGAGCATTTTTCCAAAATTTTTACAAACAGGACGATAACCGTCCGTGACTCAACCTTTGGTTCCCGTTTCTTCTGTGCACAAACAAGCACCCCGACTTAAAACAAATTCACAACTGAAAACAGTTTTCCAAAATAAAACGACAGCTTTAATGTATATTCTGTGAGTTCACCTGAATATTTGACAAAATAAGTCATGGCTTTTAATAAGCAACCCATCTACTTAGAGACTTCTTAAATTAATTTTCAGGAGACTGAGGAAACACTTTATTATTATGATCATTTGCAGGGACTCTGCATGAATTCTGACTGAATCCAAGATTTCAGCAGCTCAACAGTCCATGATCATCATCATCTGATTCTTGTCTTTACGACACTTCAAACAGGTGAGCAGGACACGAACTGGACCTGCTCAGTGTCTGAGACCAGCTCTGTAAACTCTCCAGGATGTCTCTCTGCATTGGTGGTACCTGCACATATGCAGCCACGGACGCTGGCTGGAGGAACGAGAAGACAATGCTTAGAGGTCAAATGAAAGAATGAATAACTGAAGATTGGGGGCGGGGGGGGTCTGGAAGAACTCCCCCAGAAAATTGGGAATAAACTAGATGTGATTTCCTGCATTTTTATGTATTTTAATGCTACTTGAAGAAGCAGCTATGTGATATTAAGAAGCTTGTAAAAGGCTATTGTGTTTACAATGAGTGTTTAATTCAAATTCATTTCAAATTCAATTCAAAAATACTTTATTAATCCCAGAGGGAAATTATTTTGTTGTTGTAACTCGTTATCCTCATTTCATTAAGAGATGTTATAGATGCTGATGGCTGTAGACAGGAAGGATCTCTTGTAAAGGTCCATCTCACAGTGGATCCTAAGAAACTGGCTGCAGATGCCGTCCGATCCTTCCACCCAGACGAGCTCCTCATAGCTGCGGACAGCCAACTGTAGGTGCTGAGGGACGATCCTGTTCTTCCGCTGTCGTGAGCCATGTTTCCTGCTAGTTCCAGGATCTCAGTGGTCAGGTACTCGAGCACAGCTGGCAGGTAGATGAGAATGCGTCCATAGAACATCCTTTTCAACTCATTTGAGAGTTGGGGCCATAGTTGAGATATTATTTCAGCTTTTGAGATGTTATTCAGCTGCTGCTGTTGAAGAAAACTGCCTTGTTGCCATGGTTACGCATCATAACAAATGTCCAAAACTAAAAAAAGTTTCAGTAAAAATCCTTCCAGCTGCACAGCCTCTGATACCAGAGGAAACAATCACCCAAAAAATGTGATTTACATCCAGAAAAAGAGGAATTAAAGTTTCCAAAAGCAAAATCTCAGAATGAAAGTAACAGAGCTGCTCCAACATGCAGCCACCTGGAGCGGCGCAATTCTAGAATGTTTATGTAATTATTTTCAGTTTACATAGCCAATGCAATTTTATTCATTCAAGGCAGTCATATGTGTTCATAACTTTATTATTAGTAAGCCTGATAGTTACTGGATCCAAGCAAACAGTAACCTGAACGCACCCTGTCAAAATGAGAGAGTTCCCGGATCCTGTTCTGGTAGGATCCTGCACAAATTAAGCATGCCATGGGAGAATTCATGAGAAAACTATGAGTCCTACAGCAACGAGAAATCGTTACTTAAATTAAGACAAAAATAAAAATCTAAACTTTGATATATAAACTGTATAAGAAGAGTTAGGATTGTGGGACTAATAAGAGTTTGTAATTATTGTAGAGTGTGCATCATCTTTAACAGACTACTCGAGTAATCGACAGGTCGATTCCTAGGACATCTATCAAGTTTTTTAATTTCAAGTCGAGTATTCGTGGTGATGTCATTATGTCGCCATTACGTCATTGCGTCACGTGATCCACACCGGGCGCGGGTTACAAAATGGATTCCTAGAGCGGCGCAGGCCCAGTCTTGGCAAACAGGTAGAAATGCATCAATAGTCTTGAAATATTTCACTAAAGATGAATCTTCCGGTTCAACTACCGTAAGAAAACAGAAAATGAATCAACTTCCTGACTGTTTGGAGAGCGTTGCGAACCGGTGTTACACCATAATCTGTGACCACCGTATATTGTGACCATAGGGGGCGGTGTTGCATGCACTGTTGCAGGTCACAGAATATGGTGCAACACCGGGTCCAATCGACCGAACCAGAACCAGCTTCCTCTGACCTTGTTCCACAAACAAAAAGCAAAAAATATTAATCTCTAAACCTATAAAAAACCTATAAACATATTAATCTCTAAAACTAAACCTAATGCGCACCACTGCGGGCGGTGGTGCGGGGTGATTGACACCCCCCCACTGTTTTTAGTTTATTTTTTGACGTGCCGGACATTTCTTTCACTTTTGCAGTTTAATAATAATAACTAATAGTTTTGTTTTTCCTGTGACTTATTTGCTGTATGATAAATGGTAGGAGCATAATATACGCTCCCAATGTTTTGTTGGGTCTTTTTTGGGGGGTAAATAGTGACTTTATTTTGCGGTTTTATTTATTTATTTTTGCATCTTTAGATCCTATGATGTCATCAAATACTCGAGTTCTACTCGAGTTTTATTATGTTAATGTCGAGTTTAAAATTTATGTAGTCGTTCAACCCCTAATCATCATCAGACGTTCAGTTCAACGGTCTGTGGTAAAATTATCCAAAATCAGACAACTTGTACTTTGTGTAAAAAACATCCATTGAGTCTAATAAAGTCCAACCTTCTGTGATGTTTGTACTCTGAATAACAGGAATAATGATAAATGAAGGACACACTATCATAAGTCATGTGATGGCACTGCTACTAAAAGTTAGAGTAAATTACTCCTGATAGAGCTGCATATTTATTTATTTATAGTATTTATAGTGTAGCATATTTAGTATTTGCATCTCTTTCCAAAGCAGCATTAGATGAAAATTTAAAGAAATGGATGGAAACAGATGAACTGGGCAGACAGTCTGAAATAAATGCTGTTTCACACACGCCTCGGCTCCAGTGAGTGGGCCGTGCTGATTGTGTTCTCACCTCATCCAGGTGCACCAGGAAGGTGACGTTGTTGCCCATGTTGGCGGTGAGTTTTCCATCTTTGGTGGTCAGCATGAGTCCTTTGGGAGGTCTGTTGGGGCACTGCTGCTTCCTCGCCGTGTACATCTCTTTAACTCCTTTGGTGCAGTTGTTCAGCACCACTTTACGGTAACTTTGGCAAGACAAAAAGACAAATACGGAGGTTTTCTTTAACTTTATTTTAAATATTGACTTTCTACTTGAGCCCATCACTATTTGCACCTATTTATATTTGACATTTTCTGAAGTAATCTCTTGGATGCTGCATGAGCTTGTGTCTGAGAGTCGGAGCTGAACTCGGCACGGTGCAGCGGCGGTGTGTTAACAGCCTCTGGGAGAAGATGACAACTGACAAGACGAGCTGTGTCAGAGGCAGTGACGCCCCGGGACGTTTAATCAGAGCGGCAGCGAATAAAACACTGTAGCTGTGATTAAGCTACGCAAGGTGTTCGTCCCCTGGGGGTGTCTCCAAAACTAACACAAAGGATGCATTCCTCGACGGAAAACGGACCGTCTTTAAACGTAAACGATCAGAGCAAAGACAGAAATAGTTCAGCTGTTTTTGAGAGATGTTGTTCGGCTTCTGTTCCCCTCCCCCACTATTTTCAAATGTTCGCTCTCAGAGGGTGGTGGCTGAAATACTCTCCTACAAAATAAGACGGCTCTTGAAGAAGCGGGTCTTTAACAGAGTTCCCAGCATTTCAAACAATTCCCTGCCTTTTCCCTGAGTAAGTCCTGACAATCCAGGGGATATTTCAGTCACAAGTAACGCTCAGAAGATGGTGAAGGATTTACTGTAGCACTGAATGTTATAAATTATGAGAGGAGTTATACATTGGTGTCATTTTTTAAAACCGATGGCCTCTCTTCATGTGCTATAGCTGTCCTCTCCACAGCATTGTTATGAAATGATAACTTGTAACAGCATATGCACATCAGATGTTGGATGCTAGCATTAATACAAGCACACATTGAAATCTCAGAAAGATCATCTTTTAATCAGCCGATCAGTGTTCAAGTTCCCTGAGATTTCCCTGTCTGGAAAATGTAAGTCTTTTTCCAGGATTTTCCTGATTTCCAGAGTCGCTTTGGAACCAGAAACGGGGTTTTGTCTCAAGTTCCAACGGTCAGTCGTCACTTGTGATTGTTAACTCGAAGGTTTTCAACTTTTTGTTGTTTTCTGCAGCAAAACAAAGAACTGCAAGAAATCAAAACCTTTAAATGGTAAATGGTAAATGGACTGTACTTGTATAGTGCCTTTCTATCTTATTTCAAGACACTCAAAGCGCTTTACATTACAATCTGTGCCTCATTTACATATTCATACAGAACTCTACTAGATCTCTACAAAGCAAATTGAACAAATCATTCTAAAGAGACTAATCAGAGCTTTAGATCAGATTCATACACTGATGGGACACACATCAGAGGTTATGAGGGGTTCAGTGTCTTGCCCAGGGACACTTCAGCAGGTGACTGCTGGTGGATTCGATCCCCCAACTCTCGCATTGGAGGACGACTGCTCTAACCACTCAGCCACAGCCGCCCCTTTAACACAGGGCTATTCAAATGGCGGCCCGTGGGCCATTTCTGGCCGGTGGGTGACTTCAGTCCGGCCCATTAATGAATTCATAGAAATAAAAAAAGTTTTGGATTTTGGGTTCTGTTTACAGTAGCCCCTCGTTTATCGTGGGTGTTCTGTACCCTGCCCCCTGCGATAAGAGCAAAACTGTGAAGTAGGGAGACAGTAGTCCAAGTTCAAGTTCAGTAAACTTTGTCATGACGTGCCAGGCTGCAATCACACTCATCACCTTTTACTTCCAATCTCCCTCCTTAAATAAGCAATTTTAATTTAAATACTGTAACATTTTAAATAAACAATCCATGCAGCATGGATTGTTTATTTAAAATGTTACAGTATTTAAATTTAAATTGTAGAAAAGAGAAGTGCAGCAGGACATCAAAGCGTTAACCCTTCACACAGCTCTGCAGCACGAAGCAGAAATGTACTTCTTGATTAATTACACTGTAACAACTGAACATAGAAGTTCTAAAATAATTAAAAATAACTTTTAACACTTTTATATTTTGTGATTATGATGATTTTACGATGTGACATACTTGGAATTTTAAGTTGGAAGAGAAAAATCGATGGGTCCCGATGAACAGCAAAGAGTTAACCTTCACAAAGCCGATGCAGCAGGAGAAATGTAATGTGTGGCAGAGAAGGAGATCAGCTGCAGGAGGGAGCTTCCCCCTGCACTTGTGGGCTGCGCACACGGTGCAAAATCATTTAAAATAATTTATTTTAAGTTAACAATCCATGGTTCATCCATCAATCAGCCAATTGTGTCATGTTCAATATGACTTTGAAAAACCGAGACAGAGCGAATCCATGAAAAATGAACCATGAAGTACCGAGGGACTACTGTATTGCATTTATGATCCAATGAGATTAAATAAAAAAATTAAAAGGTAACAGATCATTGTGATACTTGGTTTATTTACATAACGACTTTAATTGCTGGATGTCCGGCCCCTGAGCTGCTGGTTTTCAGAAACTGTGGCCCCCTGATCAGTTTAGATGAATAGCCCTGCTTGAACACGTGTATGTTGCTGCAGAAGACGTTTATATATTTGGATTTATGATAGCAGGGGTTCTGCTCTTTGGCATCGGTGAGGCTCTGCTTAATCGACTTTTGAAGGAGACATCAGCAGCAGTTTCGGCCATGACAAAGCTTCCGAGTAAGTATGAAGGTTTGGTTTGTGCTGTGAGTACTCAAAATCAGCTGATTTACGAGCTAAACCGTAAGATGGAGGTGATTTGTGAGAATCGCAGGCCACCTGCAGCTTCTGGGACTCATCAGCATGTTGGGATCAACCTTGAAGGAGGCTCATAACATGGATCAGTGGAGTGGATACGTATGAATTTGACCATTTTGAACTGGAAAGTTCCAGCAAGGACGCAAGGCTTACGAGAAAAAACAGTCTGCCTGAAGAAAATCAACAATTGTGGCTTCTCTGAAGCTGACTTCCCCGTTTGGCCTCAGATACGAGCCGACTATCAATTTTCTCCTGGGATATGGGTAACTAGAGACAAAAGCTTTGTCTGTCGCCGCCCCACCACCACCTCTGGGAACTTCTGTGCAGGCTTATCAGAACTGCTGGCTGAAACAACATCAGAACTGTGGCCTATCCTAAAATTGCCTTTTGTAATACCACTATCCTCATGGTTCTTCTCTTTTTCTATCTAAAAGTATTCTGATAAATAGGGGCTGCACTTTTCAGCAGAAACAATGTGCACTCCGCCCATCGTTCGGACAACTGTACGAACGTAATCTCACCTTATTCCGGTAGAATGACAGTAAGGCTTATTCTGATTCTTGGCTGCATCTCTGCTGTTTAGGTCCTTTTACTAAAACATTTTGATTTTGCACATATTAATTTGTATTCATGTGTTACTGGATGGTTCAGGTCTTACCCAGTGCTGTTGAAGTAGTTCTGACCCTGGCTGCAACTTCTGGACACAGTGGAAGGATTGAACCAGAAGGCCGGTCGGCAGTTTCCGTCGCCTCGCCGCTCGTACCCATAATCACTGTAAAACAAACACAGCACCGGATCAAGACCCGCAGGAGTGAAAGGACACATTGTCCTCTGGTGCACGTGGCAGCATTATCCAGCTGGTGATGAGAGGCATGTCCACCACAGAGGTGCATCATTATTACTTATTGATTATGGCTTGTGCTGAAAATGCACCAGAGGACGGTGAAGTCGTGTGTCAGGACATATTACCTCGGGGCAAAGGTTTGCTGGTGTATAAACGTAACGGCTAACTGTCAGAAACCTGCCAGCATTTCCAATCAGCCCATGATTTACACGTAAGCAAGAAAAGTAAGCAAGTGTCCGTTCTCATAATGGCTGTGACATTGATTTATCAGGTAATTACCGAGCCACAACAAATAAACAAAAGCAACAAGCCAGCAGCTCACGGGTCCATTCTCAGTCTGTGATTACAACAGTGTGAATTAGTCATTAGGAAACTGTCAACGTGGGGGTATTAAAGGTTTTTTTTCTAGGGCTGGGTGGAGTAGTTATGAGAATTTCATTACTGATGTTCAGACAAAATCAGATGGTGCCTTTAAGACATTTACAAACAAGCAATAATATTTTAAACTAGATTCTGAAATAAGCAGGAAGCCGGTGAAAGGATGACAGCACGGGTGTGATGTGGTCATCTGATGTACCGCCGGCAGGCCGTGAGGATCAAACACAGAGTTCAAGATGTTCCAGAAGTGTCCAGGTTTGAGATCAAATTAAGAAGAAATCAGCATGAATGAGTTTTTCAAAAATAAATAAATTTATCAACCAGGTGCTCTCCAGAGTCCAAAATGCTCACTTTGTTTAACCCTTTTACATTTAGAGTAATTTAAACTTTTTAGATTTCAACTAATGTCATCAAACATCCAATGAAACATAAATCTAACATATTAAATATATATTTTCTTTGTTTAGTTGTCAGACTACTTGTTTATTTTGATGTTGTGTTGTTTCTTAGAAGTGATTATATAAAATGGGCGACACGGTGGATCAGTCGGTAGAGCATCTCAGCCGCTCAGTGAGAAGGTCATAGGATCAAATCCCGGCTTTTGGGTGGAGTTTGTTATGTTCTCTCCGTGCATGCATGGGTTTTCTCCCACAGACCAGAAACATGCATGTTAGGCTGATTGGTAACTCTAAATAGTCCCTGGGTGTGAGTGAGAGAGTGAATGGTGGTTTGTCTCGTTTGTCTCTATGTGTCCCTGTGATGGACTGGAGACATGTCCAGGGTGTCTCCCACCTCTTGCAGCTGCTGGATATGAGCACCAGTGACCCGAAAAGGAAGAAGCCAGTAAAGATGGATGTAAGGATGTAAGGATGGATGCATGGATGAATGAACTGAAATGCCAGCAATAAGTTAGAGGCCCAGTGAAATGAATAAACGAGTCTGACTCATGTTTGAAACGAGTTAAGGAAACTAGTGTCGAGCTTAAACCACCATAACACAATCTATACATTTGCATCATGATTTAATTATTTAAATAAAAAATTTGGGGGGTAAAAAGATGTTTGGAGGTCAATAAAACTAAAAATTATGCAAAGTAAAAACAAAACACTTAAATAATTGAACTTGAGTTTTATCAAGTAGCTTCTGCTTCAGTTCGTTTTCTGTCCATCAGTTTGTAGTCCGCAGACAGAGTGGTGAGAAATATTATAATAGAAGTGTTCCTGTTGAGCTTTGTAGACTCGCCATTTTCAATTCTTGAACCAGCCCTTTAACTGAGCTGCACACTTCAGGGCGCAGCACATAAGAACACGTTCACTGCATCAGCATCATTCATGCAGTAAGTTTAAAGAACTTCTAAGAGAACCATTAATAATGAAGCATCTAACTGTAAAACTAGACGCTTCGCATTTTAAATGTAGACACGCTAGTTTTGTTTGTTTATTCTATAAAATGTAGGTTGTCATTTAAAAAATTTTAAACATGCACCAAATAAATCATCTGCAGAGAGAAGCAATAAGTTGGCCCGGATGAAAAGATCACGGGGAAACACAAACTAACAAACTTTAAGCTAATTAAATACAAACCAATTAGAGCTCGCTCCCTGCCCTTTTATAAACAATATTCAGATAAGTGCCTGCCAGTACTAGAGACAAAACTCTGACTTGGATTTGCATACAAATGAAAACTTTTTACCTCCCCACACGTCTGAATACAGTTCATATATATATATATATATATATATATATATATATATATATATATATATATACTGTATATATAAGATTAAGTTGGTGGTTAACACTTTAATAAAATATTTAATGTTTTCACATTAAAACATTTCACACATGTCTGCACATGACCTGTTTAGATCCTAACTGCTAGTATTTTTATATTCTCTGTGATGCCTTGTGTATATTCCTTTGCATTGAAACTCTGGCACAACAATTTCCTGCGGGATCAATGGATTGATATCTTATCTTAACATCAGTCCAGCAACGTCTGCCCCACAGTTACAGACAGCAGCAGAAAATGGGGACAAGTTGTCAGTTACTGGTTGCTATAGTAACCACAAATTCAATTCAGTTTATTTCTATAGCGCCAAATCACAACAAAGTTGTCTCAGGGCACTTTACAGAAACATTGACATACATAAAAGCCAATTAGTAAAGTTCTCTATCTAAGGAATCCAGCAGACAAGTTGAATCTTGGCTTCGTTGCAGTCTCCCATCCTGAGCAAGCACCGTGGCAACAGTGGAAAGAAAAACTCCCTTTTAAAAGGAAGAAACCTCCAGCAGAACCAGGCTCAGGACAAGCGGCCATCTGCTTTGACCGGCTGGTTTGAGAGGACAGGAAGGAGAGACAGACGAACACAGAATGGTAGGTCCAGATATAGGTCCAGGTGTATATGAAAGACAAAAAAAAAAAACTTGTTAAGGATAGAAAGAATATTTACCAACAATCAAGAGCAGCACAACATAACTTATATACCAATAAATGTCAGGAGAAACAACTTCTTGACAAAATTTATTTTAAGAATAAATAAACCAACTTTGACAAACTTCACATCTATAATAATGTTCAAATAAAAACCTGTTACATATA